TTTAAAATAAAAGCCTATAACTGTCTATCTGCCTGTCTCACTCTCCCACCCACTCAGTCCATCTAACTGTCTGTCTGTCTGTCTCTCTCCCCCACTCACTCAGTCCATCTAACTGTCTGTCTGTCTCTCTCCCCCACTCACTCAGTCCATCTAACTGTCTGTCTGCCTGTCTCTCTCCCCCACTCACTCAGTCCATCTAACTGTCTGTCTGCCTGTCTCACTCTGTCTCTCTCTCCTCTCTGTCTATCTTTCTGTCTGTCTCTCCCTCTCTGTGTCTCTCTCTATCATATAGTCATTCAGGGCTTAGATATTTTTAGAGGACTTTTCCCCTCTCACCCCCCATTTCAAATTAAAAGCCCCACAGAATGAATTTTAACTGGAATGCTTGTGATGAAGCCTCTCATTTTAGTGTCAAACATAATGATTCTGTCTCCTCTGCCCCTCTCTCACCCACCCAGTCCCACCCTTTCAAAATAAAAGCCCCACAAATACAAGATTCAATCCAAGAGTATTAATCTCAAATGCAGAAAAGAGAGTAGCGCTATCTCAATTGAACCTGAATGACACTACCGGTAACATTGCCGTGTGTATATATTGCGATTTCTTCGGGCAGTAGAAGCCACACTGTCAAAATTTCTTTAGGAATTTTCTAGTTTGAATTAATCTGTATTTAATCATGTATTTGAATGACTAAAAAGAGACTTGTTAATTAGATGTACTGGGATGAAATTTACATACCTTATTTTTTTTTAAACGTTATTATAACTTTTAGTATAATCCTGTGTATTTCTATATTTGCTACGGATCAGCTGCTGTGTAAAGTCGAGAGTAATGTTTAAATAGCATTAAACAAAGTAATACATATAACATATGTTATCATTTCTGTATTTCATCCTGCTGAGAGTTATATGATACATAGTCTTATCCAGCTGTAAATTCTGGTGACCTACTAAGATAGGGCTTGTTCATAAAAACAATGAGCAAAAGTGACGGTGAGTGTCAGACAGAGTCCATCAGCAACTTAACAGCACACTAACCAGCTGCCCTCTTAAGACTTTACACCATGGATATTAATATAATCAGGCAAGACACTGACATTATTAAGTTTCGGAAATAGGCAAGAGATGTATTTTGTGGAGGCCAAATATTCTCTAGAGGAAATGTTTTTTTTCAAATTGTGTTGAAAGACTCAAAAAGATTTCGATGTTGCTTAATTGCTTTGTCTACTAAGCAATTTTTTTACCACTACGCCTCACCTGTTTACATTCTGACATCTTACTCAACTCCAATGTTACCACAGCTCACTTCTCAAATTCACAGAAGCCACTTCCTCTTTGAACACATTCTTTAAAAAAAGGCACACATGCATTTTTTTTAAATTTAGTGGGACCAATCGACCAAATCATACCGTCTACAACCTTTTTACTTATTAACTCTGTGACACAATATATAAATCATTTACAGTACAGAAATAATTATCCTTGCATGGGTATTGAGATACATGTGCTTAAAGGACCACTTCAGTCTGAGGAAGAGCCCGGTGCTCAAAACGTTACACATCAATACAATCTTTTTCATGGGAGCTACTTGGTGTGCAGATCAATCCGTTTAACTCTTAAGGAACACTTCACTTCATTACTCATCCTGTGTTGCCTTGAATTCATGAAGAAAACGTTGCTTTCTGCGGGGAACGGAGAACACTTCAAACTGGTCTGGATTCGCATGGACAAGTAGCGCTTGCACAAGAATTGGACTGATTATTGAGAAGTGTTTAAAACAATGAGGTTTTACTGAAGATGCATGTATTTGGGAAGTACTGAACATTCAATAAAAGGCACTTTGATTATACTACACGAGTTGTGTGAGAGTTTGGAGACGTGTGTTTCGATATAGTTTTGCTGTTATTAAACTTATGCCCAATTTACTTCAATTCATTAGGACTTCATCAAGATCTGTTTGCTATGGAGGGATGTGAGAAAAACTACGTTTTGTTTAAGAATTCAAGGTAACGCAGGGTGAGTAACTGATAGACAAACAGTCATTTTGTTAGTTAAGTTAGTACTACAGCATCAAATCAAGTCTTTAATCAAACACTTTCTCTCACTTATGACTTATGAGGGCTTACTTCCTCTGCTGCTTCTGCAAGCCAAAGGTTAAGGATGTGGGCAGACTTGCAGCAGACTTGCAGCAGACTTGTGGACAGATTTCCTTAGCTGACACTGATTCATCAGCTGTAATCATGCCTCTGCTGCGATTCTCAGCAGCCTAGAGTTGTTCCGCTGACCCTGCACTAGCATACAAAGACAGCAGCCATAACTATGTCATCTCCACTTGTCAGTGTAGGTAGCGAAGGGAAAAATAATTGCTGCCTGGATTATTTGAACAGTAACGTTTTCAGTCTTACAGTCTTCTCCCACATGAAAGATGAATAAATGGTCGCACACAGTCTCCCTTAATCCAACATTGGGAAGGTTTGGTGAGAGGAGGTATTGGATCATCCGACAAGCAGTTATGAAGAATCATATTAGCAAGTTTAGGCGCCATTGAGCCTTCGGTGGCTGACCACTGCCTGTAGTTTTTGTGCTGTGGTTGTACCATTGGCTCTAGTTGCACAACCAATTTAGAGTCACCAATTAACCTAAACTGGGTGTCTTGGCTTTGACTGTGGAAGTATGCACATGCAGGTACGGGAAGCCTTTTAGTCCCACATTGTAAAAAGTGAGATTTTCATGTCTTTTTTATTATTACGCTGGTCTAACTGCTATATTAAGACTGTGAAAGTGATATGGAAGTCCGTGGAGAATTTAAGATAGAGGGTGAATACAGGTATATTTAGAAAGACCGTATGAGAAAAAAAATGAGTTTTTTTTAATACGAAAGCATGTAAACATATTCTAGTAGAAACCATAAATACAAGCATGAACGTGGAATTGACTGGTACGAGGGGATAACAGGCAACGCATTCAAAGGTCTTTGTCTGTGGAGTTCTTTCAAGGTTGACTTGGCATGTGGTGCCCTCAGCCTTCTGGGTTTGTTTTCCTAGTCCAACTGCTCTCTTGTTATTGACTATAAGCCTCCTTTCAGTCCCTTTTTTAAACCACATTAGTATTGCTTCGTTGTGTCTGCTGAGAAGTATTCTAGATTGTAACCTAAAGAGTAACTGATTCATTCTTGAGAAAGTCTGGCATTTCACATAAAAAAGACAGCATTATGAAAACTTCTTTATCGTAATTATTACACAATTCTTCCTCCAGTCAAGTTGAAACGGACAAGAACGAACCAAACGGCAACTGCAATGTTCTCTACAATCCGTGTGAATCATGCTTATATGCTCCAACCGCAATTTGTATCACATCTGTTTCCTCTCTTTACATATGGTGTCAAAAACCATAGAAGTCACATTCATTGTATTCAGGTATGTAAAATAAATGAAGGAATACTACTGTAGATGATAAATAAGTGGAGTAACTGGTGGTTACCTTAATAGCTTGTACTGTATGTAAAGCTAAATGACAACAATCACCATCACAAATCGAATAAAAATGTTTTGCTCTGGTCTACGTGTCTGCTATGTGCGTAGACTGGCCATCACTGAAGAGGTCAGTTACTTCAGTAATGAAATGGCGCTGTGCCAGCGGCAGCAGCTCCCTGTGTGTGTTTTAATTTTAGTCTTTTCTCTTCTTTTAGTTTTGTCTTTCTCCTTAACGTTTGGTTCTTACGGTCAGACAACGGACCGTAACTTTTTTCTCAACTTTTCTCGTGGCTTTCTGTTGCTTTTCTCTCTCTGTGTAACGGAGAGCCACACACAATGAGCGGGGCCATTGTTTACTCCCGTGATCAGCTGATCGCGCTGAGTGAGCCGCGGCTGCTGCCCGGCGCCAGGCCTGTGATCCCTGCGGAGCTACGGAGAAGACGCCGGGGCTGCAGATCTGGAGCCAAACGGAGGGCGAAGAGGAGGAGGTACAAACCTTCGGTACCGGCGATACTATTGGGGAACGTGAGGTCTTTGGCAAATAAGACGGACGAGCTCGGCGCGCTGGTAAAGACCGAGAGGGACTTCCGCGAGTGCAGCGTCATGTGTTTCACGGAGACATGGCTGCACGCGGATTTCCCGGACCACAGTGCGTCTGTGCCCGGCTCAGTGTTGCCAACTCCTCAGTAGGGAAAGTAGCTATTGGCTGTCCTAAAAGTCGCTAGAAGTCGCTAAATGATGCCATCGCCTAATTTGCATAATTGTAATGAGCGCTGTAGGAGAGAGGCGGGAACAGCGGGGGCTTTGCGCATGCGCAATTCATTTGCAGTCAGGACACGGAGAGTGTTTCTGCAGCTGAGACTGCTGCGCGAGGGGCTACTGTGAGACTAATCACCTTTGAGTGCTTTGGGGCGGCGGAGGGGCTCACGGCAGCTCCCACGTGCCGAACGGTACGTGCTTTCACGTCAGAGTCAAAACACCAGACAAGTCTCCAACAATACCAGAAAAAGTAGCTAGATTTGTCGCTAGTAGCTTTTGACAAAACAAAGTCACCATGAGGGTTTGGAAAGTGGCCAGATTTAGCGAGAAAGTCGCCAAGTTGGCAACACTGGCCCGGCTTCAGGACTGTTCAGGCGGACAGAGACGTTGTTCAGGGCTGCAAGAAGAGAGGTGGCAGGATTGCTGTCTATGTGAACGAGAGGTGGTGCAATCCCGACCATGTGTGTGTTAAGGAACGCTTCTGTAGCCCGGACATTGAACTGTTAGCCGTGGGGATGCGTCCATACTATTTGCCGAGGGAGTTCTCGTCCGCCATTGTTGTCGCTTTGTACATCCCCCCCATCAGCTGACGCCGAGACAGCAGTGGACACCATCCACTCCACTGTGTCTGGACTGCTGATTCAACATCCTGGTGCATTTTTGGCAATCACTGGAGACTTTAATCACACCACCCTGGATAAAGCCCTGCCAACTTTTCACCAATATGTTGACTGCCCCACAAGAAATAATACAACCCTGGACCTTCTGTATGCTAATGCAAAGGATGCATACAGTGCCACTGCCCTTCCCCCCCTTGGCAGGTCTGATCACAACCTGATCCTGTTAACACCCAGGTATGTTCCTCTGGTGCAGAGGCTGCCTGTGACCACCAGGACTGTGAGGAGGTGGTCTCAGGAGGCTAATGACGCCCTGCAGGACTGCTTTGAGTCAACGGATTGGGGTGTGCTGTGTGGACCACATGGGGAGGACCTCAACAGCTGCTTCCCCAACAACAAGCCATGGATTACCAGTGACCTCTGAAAGCTCTTCTTAATAAGAAGAAAGCAGCTTTCAGGTCTGGGGACAGGGACGAGCTCAGGAGAGTCCAGCGTGACCTGAAGGTGAAGCTCAGGGAGTGCAAGGACTCCTACAGGAGGAAGCTGGAGGCCAAACTCCAGCAGAACAACGTGAAGGTGTGGACTGGAATGAAGCAGATAACCGGCTTCAAGGTTGGAGGGAGACAACCAGGGGGCTCCCTGGAGAGGGCCAACGACCTAAACTCTTTCTTCAATAGGTTTAGCTCAGAGCCCTCATCTGTCTCCTCCACACACCACACCTCCCAAACACCTCCCCCTCTGTCCCCCCTGGTGAGCTGCATGGACTCAGAGCCCTCCTCTTTAAAGGGCTCTGCCACCACCGACACTATGACCGCCCTCCCCCCCTCTCTGTGACGACTGGCCAGGTGAGAAGACAGCTGGAGCGACTCCACCAAGGAAAGGCTGCGGGACCTGACCTGATGGCATCAGCCCCAGGGTCCTGAAGACCTGCGCCATCCAGCTGTCTAATGTCCTTCAACACCTCTTCAATCTGAGCCTGAAGCAGGAGGAAGTCCCGGTACTGTGGAAGACGTCGTGCCTGGTTCCCGTACCAAAGAAGACGACACCATCTGGCCTCAATGACTACCGACCAGTTGCCCTCACATCACATGTGATGAAGGTGCTGGAGAGGCTGGTCTTGGCCCACCTCCGACCGCGGGTGAAATCCTCACTGGACCCTCTGCAATTTGCATACCAGTCTCATGTGGGGGTGGACGACGCCATCATCTACCTGCTGCAACGAGCTCAGTCGCACCTGGATGGATCCGGTGGCTCTGTGAGAATCACTTTCTTTGATTTCTCCAGTGCATTTAACACCATCCAACCAGTGCTGCTGAGTGAGAAGCTGCGGGTGGTGGGGGTTAACGCATCCACCGTCTCCTGGATCACTGACTACCTCACAGGCAGACCACAGTTTGTCCGACTGGGCCGTGTGCTGTCTGACACGGTGGTCAGTGATACTGGAGCCCCACAGGGAGCTGTTCTGTCTCCCTTCCTGTTCACCTTGTACACCACTGACTTCCAGTACAACTCAGGGTCGTGCCATCTGCAGAAGTTCTCTGATGACGCTGCAGTGGTCGGGTGTATAAGGGACGGACGGGAGGAGGAGTACAGGACAGTAGTGGATGACTTTGTAGAGTGGGCCGGTAGAAATCACCTGCGTCTGAACGTGGCCAAGACCAGAGAGATGGTGGTCGACTTCAGGAGGAAGACGACTGCTCCACAACCGGTGAAAGTTCTGGGAGTGGATGTGGACATGGTGGAGGAGTACAAGTACCTGGGTGTCTCCATCGACAACAGACTGAACTGGAAGACCAACATCAACGCTGTGTACAAGAAGGGGATGAGTCGACTATTTTTCCTAAGGAAACTTCGATCCTTCAACGTGTGCAGCAAGATGCTGGAGATGTTCTACCGGTCTGTTGTGGCCAGTGCACTGTACTTCGCCGTAGTCTGCTGGGGGAGCAGCATTGGAGCCGGAGACACCAACAGACTTAATAAACTGATTAAGAAGGCCGGCTCCATCATTGGCTGCAAACAAGACTATCTGGAAGAGGTGGTGGAGAGGAGGACACTGAAGAAACTATTATCCATATTGGATAACCTGGACCACCCTCTCCACCACCTACTGCAGGGACAGCGGAGCACTTTCTCCAATAGACTGATTCAGCTCCGCTGTCACAAGGACCGATACAGGAGAACATTCCTGCCCACTGCCATTAGACTCTATAATATATCACCTCTGGCCAAATCAAACAAGACTATAACACTGATACACTGTTGTTGCTGCTGTTGGTGATCTTGTGCACTACTGTTTTGTTTATTTTTTCCTACTTAGTTAATTTAACACGATTCTATGTAGTGTATATACTGTGCATTTCTATTACTTTATTTTCGTAAATTTAATAGGTCCTGCTCTGTTATTTTATTATATTGTATATATTGTGCATTTTCCATACTTAATATTTTTATTTTATTGTGTAACCCTGTTTGCTGCTGCCACAGACAAATTTCCCCTTGGGGATGAATAAAGTATATTTCTATTCTTCTTCTTCTTCTTCTTCTTCTTCTTCTTCTTCTTCTTCTTCTTCTTCTTCTTCTACTGGAGCATGCTACCTGCACTTCCTGTTTCTCACATTGTCTGTTTATTAAGCAATGGCAAATGACACTTCCACGTACTAACGTCTTCTTGGAATGTGTATGAGAATGAAACAGCCAAATGTGCAAATATCAGCTTTTGAGTTCCGGTTTTAAATAACGGTTATAAGTGAGAAGTCTAACACTAGGCCAAAAAAAAAAAAAAGTCATGACGACATGACGAGACGGGATGTGTCAATTCTATTAAGGTTGACTTTCGACAATCATTCACACAGCTCTTACATCCCTTGTGAGAAATGCATGGATAAGGTCTTCAGCTGTGAGACATCTCAGACTGATGCTGACAATGAAGATAACTTGCACAGCCTTTGTGCTACTCATCCAAACATTACAATGTTTGGCTTCAGATGGTACAATTTTCCAACTTTTCAGTTTGAGTCGTTTGTGAGATTGTAGTTTTACTTTTTGTTGTAATATTTTGCAGATACGGGATGTCAAAATACTATTTTCTTTCTGCAATAAACATACAAAGTGTGTAATTCTTTCTTTCTCAACAGATTCACCATTTCAACTAACTAACAAGGACACTGGTTTTTGTTTGGTTAAAACAAACAACAACTGCAATGACATGCGCTGGACAACTGGTGATCGACTTCTGGTTACACAAAGGCAGAAGTGCCTGGGAGCCCAGGGGAAAAGTGTGGGAAGTGAAATAAGCCTCTACGAGTGTGACGAAAAGAGCGACCTCCAGAAGTGGGAATGCAAGAATGGAACAGTGCTCGCCCTCAAAGACCAAGAGCTTTACATTGAGCTCACTGCAGATACCACAGCAGTTCTCTCCAAAACAATAGGGCCCAATAACCACATCACAATTTCAGGGACATCCAACGGTGCTTGTGCAAGAACATACAGAGGTACAGTATAAAACAGTGTTGTTTTGAAGGACTTGCACTGTTCATACTAAATCATAAACATTTTCATTGAATTTCAAGCACAAAAATAGAATAATGACGATGGCAAATTTAGAGATTATGTTTTAAGGGAGATGATGAGGTTGTGTTGGGTTAAATCACTCACTGCAGGTACAAATGTTCTGAAACTAATCTTTGCTTTGTCCTCATCACCTCTTAGAACTCTATGCAATTGGTGGAAATGCTGCTGGACTGCCATGCATGTTTCCCTTCCAGTACAAAGACCAGTGGTACTCGGACTGCACTACGGTTGACTCTTCAGAAAAGTATCTCTGGTGTTCGGTTGAGACAAAATATCAAAATGAACGCTGGGGATACTGTCCAAGTACTTGTGAGTACTACCTGTGAAAATGTACTTTTAACACTGCAGTGGGATCGGGCCATATTTACAATGCTAGTGTATACCGATTGAAAATAAGTGAGTCATGAAAGCTTTTAGGAGCCAGTTTTGCAAACGTCACTCTTTACATAAACAAGATTTTCTTTTAAATTAACGTTAAAAAAAATCAAAAGAGCTGAAGTTAACAGACTCCAACTAGCCTTACTGGAAATTGACTTTTATTATTTTTCAAGCTGCACATTAACTGAGACATATTACTCTTCATGGGGGAGGAGTTAAGGTCTGCCCTAACAGTTGCTATATTTGAAAACGACCAAGTTGGCAACACTGTCACGAGGTGTATGGCGTAATTAATTCTCACAGCACCTACAGGCATCATTTCATGTAGGGCCTACACCCACTGCGAAGTTAAGTCCACCCCCATCATTTAATGAACACAAACAAATATACAGCCTTAGCAATAAAGTGTTGTACATTGAAGCAAACATAACATTTCCATATTTTGTATGTTCACAGCCAAAGAAGGCTGGACTATACACCCAACAACCGGAGCGTATTACCAGCTGAACACACAGTCGGCTCTGACGTGGTCTCAGGCTGAAGAAAGCTGCAAACAGCAGGGTGCTTCCCTGCTCAGCATCACCGATCCTCACCAGCAGGCTTACGTCACCGGTAAGGTGACACTGACTGTAATGAAAGATGTGATAAAGAGAGGATTTGGGCACATACACTAATGATGTGCTATTTGTTTTTCCATTAATGGATTTGATTTATAATAGCTCTCTTCATTGAGAAGATTATTTTTTGACATTCTTAGCATTACTTGCATTGATATCTGAATGTTGGCAAGGAAACTATTGTGTTGTCAAAATAGTTAGGAACTTTGAGCCTTACTAGCAATTAATGACATAGGGACAGACTAATTATTGTGTCATTTTTGTTTACCATTACCCCAAACAGCACTACTAGGTACAGGGGGCAATAAGCTTTGGACTGGGCTGATCCTGGATCCAGAACATGGCTGGATATGGTCCAATGGGAGGCCTTACCGCTACCTGAAATGGGACTCAGGTAGTTTTTTCCTTTTTTCCAATTCTGTTATGTTAAAGTGGTGATATATCAAAACATATTAGAAGAAAAATATTTATTTAAAAAAGTAGAATCCAGTGTAGTACAATCTGTACAAAAACTGGAAAAGCAAAGATGACACTTTGGGGTTTTACGGGGTGTTATGTGCAAGAATATAACAGACAAATCTGGGAGCTGATATGAGGCTGTTTGCAAAACCAACAATGACAAGTATAACCATTATCTTCTTCAAGGACATCCACTTCCTAATCCGGGACACAACTGTGTAATTGTTGATCCTGCTGTACAGTACTCCTGGCAAACTTCACCTTGCAGCAAGAAACTTGGGTACATCTGCTACAGTGAAGTAGCCGAAACACTGCCTGCAGAAGGTAAAGAAAAAGGTGTATTCTATTCGACTGTACACATCCCCTCAGAACAGTATAGCTACACTGTAAACTGTATCTGTCACTCAGCCCGTATTTCTTTGTTCTTTTCATGATCAGCTGGTGTGACAGGATTTTGTTCAAGACCTTGGATTCCCTACAATGGACACTGCTTCCACCTTAATCATACTCAGAAAACATGGTCTGATGCTCAGAGAGAGTGTCGTAATGAAGGCGGGGACCTGGTCAGCATCAGAAATGTGGAGGAACAAAGCTTCATCATCGCTCAACTCGGATACGGTACGTCAAAATAAAAAGAATTAAAAAAAACACCTAAGAGAATGTACAATCAACAATCATTCATTGTCATGTGCTGAGATGAAGATGACAGATCCTCACACATTTTTTTTTCATGATCAGTTCAGTTATAGAATATGGTCTAAACAGCTGCCTTCCCAATAAATGCAGCAAATGCTAATGGTGCTAACAGCACAAACAGCAACAGTGCTGACAGAGCTAACAGTGTTGACTTGAGGGTGAACAGGGGGTTGGGTGGCCAGGCAGCGCGAATAAGGCGAATGACGCAACGTGAATGAGGTGAATACGTGAAGTTCGCCTCATTTGCATGACGCTTTGTCGCGAAAGCCTATCAGCGTTGAGATTCTCCTCCTGTCATCCCTGACATCCTGACACTGTTGAATCAGAACGAGAGGAAAAAATGATTGTGCTGTAGGTGGGCACCCAGAGCTCTACAATACCTCATATTTGTACAGAGGACGAAACTATGTGTATAAATTTTTTGATTAAGTTAATTGCAAATAGTTTACGGAAAGATCATTTCTATTATCCATCTCTGCAGCAACCACTGATGAGCTTTGGATTGGACTGAATGACAGAAAGACAGAGGGGCTGTTTGACTGGATTGACCACTCTACTGTCAGTTTCACTAGCTGGGAATTCGGGAAACCTGCTGCCTCCATTGATATAAGGGACTGTGTTCTCATTAGGGGAGAGGTAAGAAACAGCATGTGGGTGTGGTGCGCATATCACCTTTGTGTTTATCCACATAACATTCACTTGAGAAAGCGGCATCTAATCATGCTCTTTAATGCGATTTATCAGGCAGCGGAAAAGCTATAATTTTGCAGCTATATGTCACAGTGAACTTAATTGTACATGTGTTAAATTACATTGTCAACTGTATATGTCTGTATCTACAGTATTATGTGAAATTTGTATAGTTTTAAGACTTTGGTGAGTTTATTGACATTTGATTTACCTGTGCATTGACTGTAGTATCTTCCAGTACCTGCAGTCTCCACGTAAACATTTAACGGTACTTTGTTGCAGAATGGGAACTGGGCTGACCGTGTGTGTGAGGAAAAACATGGCTCCCTTTGTATGAAGATGAGTTCCTCTAAACCCACTGGAGATGAAGTGCAGCAGGATGTAGGCTGCAAAACTGTATGTTAAGTTTATTTATTTTTTCATCTATTTAAAAACTGTCAACCTTTGTTCATGAAATGATCACTAAAGTTGAACTTTGGTGTAGTGCCTGAACTTCAACTTAACTCTGTAATCTCCCAAAGCTCAACAGATCTTTTTAGCCTTTTTTTTTTGCGTTTTGGTTGTTTCTAGCACAGCAAAGATCAGATAAACTCCCAATACTTTACCTGCATAGCTCCACAAAATGTGCAATACGACAAGACAGAAAAATAAAGTGCTTTTCAACCAAGACCAAAACAAACAGCTAAAAGGCAACTGAATATTACACTTACATTTACAGGTGGACAGAAACCCAGCTTCAAATGAATGCTAATGTTCCTACTTACTATGTTATATATTATATATATATATAATAATAATAATAATATGTAGGGGCTGTGTGTGTTTTAGCATGATGTAGAGTTGCCCAAGTGGTCGAAAAGGTTTCTTTTAAAATCCATAACTTTATAATACTTTATACTGCTTTTATGCCAAGTTTAAATGTATAATGTTTGTGGTTGTAGTGATTATAGAATCTTTTTTTTTTCTGATATACATAGGTTTGAACATTTATTGATAAATTAGACAGCCATGGTAAAAGTTGGCGGGGTGTGTTGCTCTTTGCTTTTTCCCCCTCTAAAAATACTACATAAATTATGAAATATCATGTGGTCATTAAATGATCTTTCTTCACTTTTTCTAGGGGTGGAAAAGACATGGCTCTTACTGCTACTTCATAGGGATACAGACCAAAACCTTTGATGAAGCCAAAGATGACTGCAAGAGCTCAGAGTCTTACTTAGCTGATGTTTCAAATGGGTAAGAACATATATTTTAGAACATATAAGTGTTTTGAGCAACACTACATTTCATGAGCCCAAATACATTGACATTTACGGACAGAAACGGAAAAAGAGATCCCACGCTCCTAATTGTGTAAATATTTCCAGGGTGGACAATGCCTTCCTTATCAGCTTGGTGGGGTTGAGACCAGAGAAATACTTCTGGTTAGGCCTCTCGAATCAGAAGAACATTGATCAATTTGTGTGGACAAACAGAGATTCAGTGAGGTTTACTCACTGGAACGCTGAAATGCCAGGTATGGAGAAAAGTTCAACTCCATCTGTAAGATTTGTCCAAAAGTGGCATCACAATTGACTTTTCACCATTTCTCCCTCGACAATGCAAGGTCACCGACAGGGCTGTGTTGCCATGACAACTGGTGTTTTTGCTGGCCTCTGGGATCTGCTGCCTTGCACCAACAAGGAGAAATACATCTGCAAACACCTGGCAGAGGGGGCCGTTTTAACTCCTGCACCACCCAGTCTTCCCCCTACCACCACGTGTGTAGACGGCTGGAATAAAATTGGATTAAGACAATACTGCTTTAAGGTGAGCCATGTCTGTAAAAAAAAGTTTTTTGTTTTGAGTTAGGCTTCAGTCTTGGGCAGTATAACAAGATTATCGTTTAAATGACATTGATTGGCCACGATAATTGTCTCCACTATAGGAAAAAGATATTGAATTATGCAACGGCAGTCAGAGATTTTGCGCTATATTCAGTCTCTGTCTTCCATTTTTTATCTTGCTTTTTCTGTGCTTCACCACATTGTTAAAAAAAGTAACAAAATGCTAGCTTCAATCTAATGTAATTACAAAGCCTGATTGGTGTCTTGTTGGTTGTTTTTTGTATTTTATAGATACATTGGCCTTCTCCAAAAATCCCAAATAGCCCACAAAGAAATACATCTGTTATTTTCAGAGAGATAGCACTGTTTTTGTGTGTAGAGCAGGGGGAACTAATAGGGGGAAGGCGGTCCGGACCTGGACCTGCAACCGATAGATAATTGAGAATCATTACATTTTGGTACACTTTACGGCACTCGTTCAGCGGCCCAGGAAACACACCGACCAATTGCATGCGTTGTAAATCGCATCACGTAATCCTACTCACCCAGTGAAATATGGGTATTCTGATGAGCATCGCGGCTTGAGTGAGATACAGACAGATGGGGGAGACTGGACGAGAGGCCACACAGTCGGAATGTAGGTTAGTCAGAGAAGTTATGTATTTAACATGGAAAAGTGGACGAGACCAGAGCCTTTAACCAACTATGGACAGACTCTTATATGTAAGGATATAAGGATAATTCAGTTACAGTATATTCATTCATTCAGTTTTTCAAAAGCTTAATGTAATGTTTTTTTAATTTTTAAATGCAGCCCTTATTGTAATTGAAATGAGAGAAGAACACGTATTTATTATTAGAGTATTTATTATTTATAATTCATCCCGACGATAAATATTGTTGAGATATTATTCAATTGAGCTTTCTGAATTTTATTTGACAGTCAGTTGTTGACTACATACAGACGTTAATACAGCTGCTAGGCTACTTGAGTAATTATGGCACAAAATCATAGCAGTTAGACATTATTGCGATGTTCCGGTTCTTTGCGTGAAGATTTTTTCTCCAAATGGCCCTTGTTGAACATTAATTGAATACCCCTGGTGTGGCGGGTGTGTGTGTGTGTGTGTGTGTGTGTGTGTGTGTGTGTGTGTGTGTGTAAGAGCGGCACTGTGACTTATAAAGGCACACATACAAAGAATGCAAAGACATTAAAATACAGTTTGCTTGTTGAAAGTCACACTACCAAATCATGTTGAACCTCTTTGTCTTCTGGTCAAGCTGTTTATACAATCATCCTTAACAAAGAGGACCTGGTATGAGGCCAGAGATTACTGCAAGGCCATTGGAGGAGACCTGGCCAGCATCCACAGTGCTGAAGAGCTACGACAGCAGGCAGTCCGGTACAGTATACCTGGTCACATAACAAAATTAAGAAAATACAAAACTGAGTTGCAGCAGAAGATGAAGGTTGGCCAGCAGAGCATGAGACAGGGCTTCAACAGGTTTTACATATATCATCAATACAACAACCATATAATGTAATCGTTGTCCATCATAGCTCTGCAAATGTCTGGATTGGGCTAAGTGCTCCTGACTCAGTCACCGGTTATGTATGGAGCGATGGATCCCCAGTGAGTTAACGGTTTTCTACTAAATAAAACTTGGAATGAGTTAGCATTTTTGTACTTCCTGTTCCCTCGTTCCAAAGTCAATGTTTTTTTTTTAGAATGGGATTTGGTTAGATTGCTGAAATAAGTTCTGTGGTTAACACAAGCTTAAGATATTTAACATTTTGTCCTACGATATAAAATACGTCAAAACTTGAAGCTCTTACTTCTCTTAAAAAAGGCATGTGCGAACAAAAATGTGTAAGTATCTTATACTTACCTGTGTTTGCCACAGAGCAACATTTTTTAAATCCAATGCAAAAATCCTATTGGCTCTTTGTCGAGGGAATCAGTGCAATGCTAACTACAAAAATACAACATCCCTGTAGCTCTTTATAAAATTATAAATACAAATGTTTGTTCACAGCTGCAGTTCCAACACTGGGAAGATGGAGAGCCAAACAATAAAAACAATGTAGAATCTTGCACCGAATTCAAGATGTCTGAGTGGCGGAGCAGTGGGTCTTGGAACGATGTGCACTGTGAAACATACCACCATTGGCTGTGCCAGATTCGTGCAGGTAAAATGAGGGAATGAAAACTCTTCATTCTCTGTTAAGTTTTTTAAGACCATGTCACTGTTTTGTAACTTTTGTTGAAGGTTAATCATGCAAGCTTGACCTTCCAACAATATCTTCCTCAAATGTATTTAGGTCAGCGCTGTCTACTATCACTCCAGAGCTCATTTGAGTATCATTTCACATTATTTATTTCCTTACAGGAGTGACTCCAAATCCGCCTCCAGACCCTGTCACTCCTGGTAAGTGGGCCATTTTTTCAATGCAACCACATAGAAAACATAAGAAATACTCTTTTAGACCAAACCTTATTTGCTATTGTATGCGTCAAATTTGCTGCTGCTGTTACTTCTCTGTGGGTTAATCCTCCCTTAATATTTGCGTCTACACATCTTTACATTTTAACATCAAACTTCATACTCCAAGAACACGCACACAGCCATGCTAGCGGCTGTGAGGCTGTACTAAATACTAACATCAGAATGCAAACATGTCATGAGAACATGAAGATCTGCAGCTAATTTCATGGTAAGCCTAATAGTTGCTGAGATATTTTACTCAAAGCCACAATGGTGAGCCTCATGGTGGTACAAGAGGAAATGTCTGGAGATCCCCAAAGTCAATAGGATACATCAACTGGAAGGTTTGTTACAATCCACAAAGTAGAAACAGAGATATTTCACTGGACAAGTGAAAACGTTGACCTGCCGGTGGCATTGGATGACCAAAGTCAATTCAAACTTTGGGAACCATGAATGTCTTTTCAATCCATAGAGCCATGCTGCTTGCATGGCCAGAAAGCAACAGAAATCTGAACCTGCATATGTACTGTATTACATTACATATTTCTGACATGTTTTCAGACCACAATAAGACCTCAGACGGGTGGCTAGAATGGAATGGGGCTCAGTATTATTTGAACAGTAACTCGATGGCCATGGAAGAAGCTCGTGGCTTCTGCCGACGGAGGCATAGTGACTTGGTAGTTATCAACAGTGAAGCTGAAAGTGTCTTTTTATGGAAACAGGTGAGGAGTGACATTTATTCTTCATTACCGACATTTCTCATTGGCCATGGCATTTAAGCTCAGAACATACTATAATGTAGGTACTGCTCCACCGTCTGTTTGTGTGCAGGTGTCCAAAGGTTATGGGTCTTACTGGCTAGGCTTGAACGTAGATCTTGATAAAACATATGGGTGAGTATCACTTAATTATTAATTAATGGATTAAATAAAATGAGAAAATTGAATAAAAATATAAAACTATGGGACATGTAGAATATGTTCATAATGGGTTGTGCTGTATGTAATGTAGGAACATTTTTAAATAGGCCTCGTTAAGGGAACAGAACACATTCACGGTTCGGTTTATACGTTGGTTTTTGGGTCACTGTTCGGAAAGTTTTTGGTACAATAGGAAAAACAAAGAACATAAGCATAAAAAACATTTTATTTAATATATTTTGAAAATTCAACAGTTGCTCATTGGCCATAATAATTACTTTAGCAGTTAAGGCACTCACTGGGATATTGTAAATAAAAAATAATAATAATGTAATGTAAATGTCACTCATTGTCCCCCGGTAACAAATAAAGTATTTCTGATTCTGATTCTGTAATAATCCATCATAAGATTCAGACCTGTTGATAATTAATTTACTGGGCTGTAGCTTATGCTCGTTCATCCAGAATAGACACAACAGACTGACTAAAATGCACGTATAACATATACCATATGCTTTAATTCTGTATTCTCTACAATCGAGTGTGGTAGCATATACGCAGTGATAAACACTCTATAGCATTGGTTACAAAGGCACAAGATGAACCTGCAGTAGGAGGCCGTCTGGACGCTGTCGAGAGAAGAACTCGCCATCCAATCCGTTTTTGTTTTGTTTTGATAATTGACACATTCAGGTGTAAATTAAATGTTTTAAGTGTAAACCTGCAGTCCCCCAGATAGTCCTGTGGGTTTGCCATTATCTGCCAACCTCTTTCCCATCACACATACTCAAAATAAGAATCAAAGTAGCTATCAATGCAGCTTTACTTATAAAGCAGCTAAATTATTTCTTTAAACTAAATCTGGTGGATTTTACTGCCTGGAATTTAAAAAAAAGGCTTATTCTAGATTTTTCAATGTAAGAATTTATAATACAAAAAAAATAAAATGCAAGATTGACAAAATGCATAGTATATTTGCTGGAATAAGGATCGTGCCACGTGGTTTGCCCCACTCTTCCTTACTGTTTAAAATGTAATTTACCTTTCTTTTAGTGTCTGCTTTAACAATCATGGAAAACGAGATGCAAATTATGAAGCGCTGACTCAAGAGCACCTGCCCGTAATCCATAACATAGAATGTCTGACACCTGGATATTGTAAATGTCATAATGCCGGACGATAATATTGCTGGTCTGTAACATTGTTTTTGACGGAAAAACAACATGAAAAAGAAAGTAAGAGTGTGCCATGGATGTGTCTTTTACATTTTTACTGATTTTATTGTGTTCCAAAAAGTTGGATGGATGGTTCTTCCGTGGTGTTTCAAAGGTGGGATGAAAATCAACCTTTTTTCCAACGCAATGATGAGAATTGTGCTGTCATGACTGCATATACGGGTGAGTAACTTAAAACTAACTAATCTTCACGAGCATACTTTCATATAATGAATTTAATACAGAACTAATCTGAGATTTGATTTTAAATGAAAGTGTTTTTTCCCCTAATCTACTTTTTTATATTTTGGATTGATTTACAGGGTTCTGGCATGTCTATAATTGTGGATCTGAGCACAGGATCATTTGTAAACGTAGTGGCTCACCACATGCCAACGCCACTGTAGCACCAACAGTTCTTCCAACAGGTGGCTGTCCACAAAACTGGAAAAAATTTGACTCAAAGGTCAGAGGTCACTTGTATTTTTTATAGTTGGCAGACTGGGGATACAACTGATGTTGATTCCCTCGATCTGACAAAGCATTGATCTATTTGTGGATAAAACAATAAGCTGCTCTTTTGAGATATCACACAGAGCTGTTTATTTTTCCAATACAGTGTTACAGCATAATCAATAACCAGAATGAGACGTGGCATGGAGCGAAGGCACAATGCAAAGCAATGGGAGGAAATCTGGCTTCAATTGTGTCGAGAGAAGTGCAAGGTTTGGTTTATGTTTTTTTATATATTTTCCAGAAAATTATGAATCCTGAAAGTGAATGACAGCAGGCAAATAAGTATTGAACATTTTTCAATTCAGAATTGAGGTGTCATCTGATCGCTCTTCTGATCATCCTTTATAGAGACCACAGGTCCTGAACAAGACAAGGTCAAAGAGGACCTAGAGGAAGTACAATGATCACACTTCTATATTAATTCTGTTAACAACGAATATTGATCAGAGCACCCTTAGATTTAACCCGTTTTGGTTATATCGTTGGAGCTGGGAGGCTTGTTAGGCACAGCACCGCTGCATGCAAGGCACTCAGTGTAGAAAGTTTTAAAACGATGAAGTGACATATGTTATGTCCATGTTAAAGAAGTGTGACCCTGACACACAAAACAAACTTCATAGTAGGCGTCATCTTGGATTACGGCCATCGCAATCTTGACTATTTGCAACCAGTGACCGATAGTGACCATATTTGAACTGCGGATGAGTGACTGGTAGCGATCTGTGAATCACAAGGTAGCCCACCCTAAAGCATACCGTGCTTTATGGTTTAAATTCAATCTAAATGGGACCGTAATTTACAAAATGGCCATCATGCTGTATTAAGGAAGACTTGAAACTAGCAATTAAGAACATAAACTCATGTTTACAATGTTTACTGAGGTAATAAATCAAGTGACAAGTAGAGTCATTTTTTCATAGACTTCCATACAATCTGACTTGTATTTGCAACCTGAGGAGTCGCCCCCGGAAACACTTCCGCATTTGCTTCACTCTTCAGAAACGCAAAGTCTACATCTAATATCCAACTAAACAAATACTGTTCATGAACATTATGTTTTGCACCTGTGTGACAAGAATTAACTAGTCAGTAAGAAACAATACAAGCTACGCTGTCATTTCTGCTTTCTTTTGTTGTTGTTAAAGTAGACCAACACACTGATCAAGAGCTTTGTAGAAATATTTTGTTCATTTGTATTTAGTAATTATTTATTTTAACTGGGGAACAAAAAATGGTTAAATGATCTGATCAATATGTTTTTCAGTGTTTTTGATTACTAAATTGGCTGAGGCACCTGCCACAAGCCTCTGGATTGGTTTGTATAATAGACAAGGCAGACAATTTCTCTGGACTGATGGCCGACCAATGCGATACAGCAATTGGGGAAATGATGTAAGTGATTTAGTTTTTTTAAATCATAATGATACTACTATAATGAACTACAAATCCTTTTTTAAATCACCGTTTTTCCTGAAAATGTGACTCTCTCTCTATAGTTGCCGATTCGCCTTCGTCCAATGAGACCTATGGGGTACCCTGCTGGGGTATAGTATGCTATGTAGTAATGTCAACCAATGAGCAAGCTAGAGTGTGAATGAAGAGAGGGAGCGGCATTAGCAAAAACAAAGCAGTGAATCAGAAAAATGTAATGTTATTTTCTGACTGTTTCACGGGGATTATGTTCTAAAGCACAAATACATTTAAAAAAAATTCACATCTCCTCACAACTGCACTCCGCATCAGCAAACATTGAAAAACATAAAATCACAATGTAACAACCCGCTGCTTTGTATCCTACCATTGACTATATATAAGAAGTGGATGTAGCCACTGTGACGTCACTCAGGTTGATGGACTATGGTTTTGAAGCCTTGAGTGCGGCATTTTGGCCGTCGACATCTTGGTTGTTGTTTTTTTTGCAACCCCGAAGTACCTGAAGTACAACTGAACACTGAAAAAGAGATTTTTAGATGACCAAAATGTTAAAATCAACTTTCATGAACTGCAGACTTATTGTGAAAGGGTTACAGTTGAAATGGTATGTTCACATTGCGAGCGTCAAAGCCAACAAAGTGGCCAGTGTGGCCAGCTACATTGTCATCGAGTCACCGTTGAAGTGTTGCTCAAGCGCCCGTTGATTATAGTTATGTCATCAAATAAGACTGGGAACTGGCTAACGGCATTTCTTAAATGGAATGGAACAGGGTGAAACAAAAACATATAATCGGCTGGCGCTTCAGGATGGTCATTGGAGTGGTGAAAAAAATGTAGACCAGCTCAACTTGGATTTGGAGCTTCATGTCACAGGCTTCCATTGAAAATGACTCATAGTGTGGACACAGCATTAGACGAAAACCCCGGACAACGCTGTGGTAGCGGCCCGTCAATCACAAAGTAGCCACGCCCCAAAGCATACCCTGCTATATCTTCTGTAAACTGAGGTTATGCCTCATCTGCATTGTTTGTAATACATTTTTGGGTGTATTGATTAATATTTCTGAAACCTTGATTTTCCATTCCAGTGGAATCATAGGAGGTGGCAGTCTATGTATGACATAGATCGTGAGATGGATTATGAAAGGTTTCATATGATGCAACATGGAGAGGTAATACAACTTCACTTGTCTTCACCTCGATTATTGGTTATTTTGTAAAAATATTTATGCATGTCTAATTAAATGAAATTAATATTTAAATCAAGAATGTAGAGGGAAAAGTACAGCATACTGTATAGAAAGTATTGGGTGTCCTGCCATCTCATTGGTTTTGCTCATGGTGGCGATTAACAGTTACATTAGTGCTGCTTCGTGACTCATCATATTTTGCAAATTAGTAATTTTTGTTTTATGGTGAACATGCTCTGAGTCCCCTGGACCTTACCATAGATTACTCTTTACCCAATCAACGCTGTGTTTCACCAGAAAGCATGTGCTGTGATGACTCTCAATCCCACCATTGGTCTTGGGAAATGGATAAAAAGGTCCTGCAATGACACCAATGGATATATCTGTCTTCAAAATGTTGGTGAGCATATCCTCCGCCGTTTCTCTTGAATGCATTTCCTATGGCCTAGAATGATTCATATTATTATATTTCTTTTATCAGATATTCTATATATTCTGTATTTCGCAATTGCAGTGGTGGGCCGTCAGGGCCAGCAAAGCCTTTTCTGCTTTGTCTGTCTCTGCTTTATAATAATTATTTTTCATAAATAGACTACCTGTATTATAAATATTTTCCCCTTAGCTTATTATCTCATTGCACAGCTACTGTCTTCTTCAGTTGCTTTACTTCCAGCGCAGCTTGTTTTAAGCAGAGCTTTTATCCAATTTTTCACCCCTACGCTGTCTCTAAGTAAAAAGATCTGCCCGGAGGCCTTCAGAATTACAAGTGAATCCCTTTGCAGTTTAAGTAAATGGAGACGATATTGTTGATGGTCATAGTCTTCAACCAATCAGATCTTTACTTTGACATGTTGGGCGTATTCTTTGACATGTCAGAGCCTTTCCAGCTTGGTCAGTGGGCTAGCGTGACATGTTGGCCGGTGACAATCCCAATATCTACTGCCTCTGTCGAGCGGACATTTTCAGCCCTCAAACGCATTAAAACGTATTCAAGAAATATAACTGGGAGACTCGACTGTCTTCACTGGCGTCCATGAATCGAGAAAGACCTTTTGCTGGAACGGAAACGCATTGATGTTCTGTACAACCGCGGTATTGAACTCTTTATTAACAAAGAATGAGGTTATTAGGAGGTACTTCAACTGTAGTGGGACAGCACTGAAGGCCCAGGTATAAAATACACGGCCGCCACTGCCCAATTGACAAAACACCATCAGCCAAGCATCAACTCACAAGCATCACATGCTTGTGACTAAGAGACTGGTGGTGGATTTTAGAACAAATAGTTGTCGGTGATAAAAACACAAGAGATAATAAGGTATAATTCAGGACCCACTTGGTCATCAATAACAATTTTAATGCAGGCCTGTTCAAACACGGTATTATTAATGGAAAATAATAACTGTACACTACAGGATCTCTACAACAGAGCCACTGAGTTTAAAGAAAAATGAAAAAACTAAATGCGTCTATCTTTTCACCCTAAACAGATCCCTCTTTCCCAGAAACCCCTGAACCGACAATGACCGACTATGTCAAAATATTGAATGACTCCATCAAGCTTGTTTCTCAACAAATGAACTGGGATGCAGCCAAAAAGCACTGCGAAAGTGATGGTGCCAAACTGGCTAGCCTGCGAAACCAGTGGTCACAGACCTATGCTGAGCAGCTGGCTTTGAACGTCATCAAAGGTCCTGTGTGGATTGGAATGAACAAAATGGAGGTACAGGACAGAAAGCCCCTCAAACTGAAGATCCTCAAAATGATGATGTGTATTTTTTTTTTCCAAATATAAATATTTATAACAAATAGTCAACTCAATTTATATTATTGATGGCTTTAATGAAGCTAAATGTGTTCGACACGTTTGTCCATGATGTAGCATACAATCCTGATAAAGCAGCATTGATGTACTTGAGTTTTCAGATTAGAAAACATTTAACATACTTTTCAGTGTTGGAGACCAGCTTATTGTAAGAAAGGGGAAGAAGTTCCCAATTTACTTTAGAAATTACAAAGATTACAGATTTCGTTGAAAAAGATAAAGTATATTATGCTGAATGCAGTTTGATCAATCTTTGCTTTCAGACTGGCGGATATTTCAGATATATTGATGGCTGGCGCCTCACCACCACCTATTGGGGTAGACGGGAACCAACCACGTACTACTCTTGTGTGTTTGTGGATGTAGACGGAAAATGGAAGACTGCTGACTGCAATCGGAACATGACCAGTATTTGCATGAAGTCTACAGGTAAGGATCATGTATATTTTAATACATTCTTATTAGGACGCATTCCTGAATCTTACCCTGTAATGTCGACATACATCCTGCCTTTACCTGTTTGGTTACATGGTTACAATCGTTATCATTGTATTCGATTTGATTGAATTGTGTTTGAAAGCATGCACTATACAGTAGTTAGTTGGTTTAACTGGCGTGAATGTATCTCTCATTCACAGATGTGCCACCAACAGAGTCAAGTGCTTTTCAAGGATTTTGCCCCGACGACCCGGAAACATCAAGATACTCACGCAACAGAAACAGCTGGCAACCATTTAGGGGTTATTGTTACCTCTTTATCACAGAAAGGACGCAGTGGGCAGATGCATCTGCTAACTGTCTAAAACATGGTAAGCACTTTCTATGGATGGACCAATACGGATTCTTAATAACTCAGCTGTGTTTAGCTTAAACTAAACACCTACTGTTTTTTTGTTTGTGAAGGTGGAAATCTTCTCAGCATTGAAGATCCTTCTGAGCAAGCATTCATTCAAAGCAATATTTTATCATTTCAAGACATCCAATCCTCATTCTGGATCGGCTTGTACAAAACTCACAAAGGTACAGTCACATTTATCTTTCATAAAAACAAACATTAAACTACATTTTGACACGAAGAAGGAAAATGATCTATATCTGAAACAAAGAAGTTACAAAATGACAGTAGCTTAATCATTTATGCCTGCTAAGAAGAGAACTGAAACTACGATTGTCAACAATAAGTGAAGAAAGAATATATACATCAATATCTTTATTTCAAATATGGATGTGTAATGTTAAAGGCATCGCTCATAGTGCCAAACGCAAGAGGAGTTTTCACCAAGCTCTGCAGTTGCCCTCAGCTCAACAGAGTTTTAGCATCTTTCGGCTTCTTTTGATTTTATGGCCCCATTGCATCTTTAATTGACCTCAATTCCAGCTGTTTTCAGCAAAAAGGCGCTGATAAACCTGGTTGTGAACATAGTTCAGCAATAAAGGAATACTTCACCCTTGAAATGACAGTTGTATATCAATCACTTACCACGTTTACCTTGAAGAAAAGTTTTTCTCGCATATCTCCACAGTGAGAATCTGAAAACGGAGTGAATCCTTGATGAATTAAAGTAAATGGAGGCCAGGTTTAACAACAACAAAACTATATCAAAACATCTGTTTAATAACTAATTTACCCAGTCGTATGATCAGTCAACCCGTTCTCTTTCCCGACTCGTCACACACTGGCACTGGGTAGCCCAGCGCAATAAACTATGATGCTCCTTGAAGTGAACACATGGAAAACGTTGTGAATTTAAACAGAAAGACTTAAATTGGTTCAGGAAAAGATCATGATTTGGGTTTAATAAAAATGTGGTAAACATGTTGGTTTCACAGGGTGAAAGTCCTGTGTTGGCATAATGCATGTGTTTGGGAAGTACGGAGCATACAACTGGATAAATGAGACTTGGATAATACTACAGGAGTAGTGTGAGAGTTTGTTATACTCTGATATAGTTTTACTGTGAACCTGACCTTCAGTTACTTCAATTCATCAAGGATTTACTCTGTTTTCGTGCGTTTTTGGATTCTTTGCTCACTGCGGAAGCATGCGAGAAAAATAACTTTTTCTTCAATACTTGAAGGTCACATGTGAGTAATTGATACACAAATGGACATTTTAAGGTTGACGTATTCCTTCAAGCAGCTCAAAAGTAATGTTTCCCTGAGTCAAAACAGGGCTAAAAGGAGTCTGAACGTTTTGTTTGGCATTCTTCAGGTCGATAGAAACACATCTACAAATGCTAATGTTGCTCTGCGTTTGCTGATAGACAACTGTCTGCTAAAGTGTTTCCTCAAAACAACTTTATTGTGGCTTTGGGGTCAGTACACAATCAACACAATATGGGGAATGTTAGGTTATACAAGCACATTTGTAAAACTTAAATGTTGCAAAATCTTGTTTCCATTCACATTGAAAAAACAGATATTAAGTAACAAATTCAAGAAAAGCTTTATCTGTTAAAAAAAAGAAGTAAATACTGGATTTCTATTTGTCCCCAGGCCTCTGGCAGTGGTTGGATAAAGCTACCATGGACTACACTAACTGGAATTACGATGAACCATCTGACAGCAGTTATGGAACCATTCAAACTGCAAATGCGAAATGGTCGACAGCGAACGGGCGGTATGAACGAGGATACGTTTGCAAAACATCTAAAAGTGAGATCATCATGCTGTTTGAATTAAAGTAACAGGAATGTGGAACATATAGTGACAAATCAAAAATACATTCATGAATTGATATTTAGAGTATAATGTAATGATACATGATTTTGTTCATGTTTGGTATCTTTCTAGCATTACGAAGCGCACCACAGACAACTGGTAAGTTACATCTCTATATTCTTTATATTTCTCTAATAATAATTATAAATTTGTTCTTCTGGCTCATCCTCTACGTGTTGAATCTGTACAGTAACTCCTTCAGTGGAACCTCAAACCCGTGGCCACAGTATTTTGGCAGTTGTGCTGGTCAGTACAGTGATTGCCATAGGAACAGGCATCACCGTGTTTCTCTTCAAGAAGTCTAGACGCCGCTTATCGATCCCCAAGAAGTTATCTACCTTTGACAACCCACTCTTCTTCAACAACGAGCGGTTCGACACCAATAAACTGGTAGAAAATGCAGAGGAGGAGAATCCTGGGCCTGTTACAGCCATGTGATGTTTCAGCAGAATCTATTTGATTGAATTCAGTGAAGCTTTACTCAGCTTAAACAGTTAATGTTTTTTATTAGCATTTTGTAGAGTATTTTAGCCCACCGCTGACATGAATATTGTACTTTTATATCCTTTACATTTATCTGCTGGCTGTGGTTACTGATCATTCTTCAGGGTTTTCACATGTAAAATAAACATTAAACTTTGATTAAATCTGTTGAATTCATGATATATTACTTTTTAAAAGAGAAAAGCTATGTTTACTGAGAGCAAATAAAATAACCAGGAGGAACAGCATAAGGACAACACTATTAGAGGGAGTGGACACATCTAAACCTACCAAGAGGCTGCTAGTAAATGGCGATGTTATTGTGTAGTCGCAGTTAAAACAGTTATTCAGTTTTGTTCTTGATGTCCAGAACACGCAAGACAAGCTCAAAACAGCTTAAAGACAAAATACAAAGTAGGCAACTATCTTCACTACTCACAAGCAACCAACAGACCTTCTGCACACGTGCTCCTCGTGCACAGGTCACGCACAGTCAACAGGTGGCTGGAACAAACAATTAATGCAAAAGAGTGAGAAATTATCAAACTATCCAAAACACGACAGACTGTCCCTGCGACAGTGTCTGCATATGAGGGGCAGTTAAAACACAACCGCAACTTGGCCCAAGCTGCACAGCACGTAACAGAACATCAACACAGCAGTTTGGTTCATTCACAGTCAGCCACCGAGACATTTAAGAAAACCCAGCGAGCAAGAAGCATTGAAATATCAGTGACAGACAGACAGGCAGATGTTTTAACTGACTCGCGTTAATTGACGACGGAGTCCATCCCTGTTTAGTTTAGCATTAAATACGTTGTTCACTTACTATCGTTTGTTATTCTTCACAACTCACCTCAGAGTTTCTTTTTCCAGAGACTTAGCGTTATCCGTTTTCGCAGTGGCGTGACAGCATGTTAATGTTTGTCACAAATATTTTTAAATATCAAAGGAGGCATTGCCAACCTCACCTGTGATCACTTCAGTGGCAGACTGCTCAGAGTGCATTCCCATCTTGGTCCACCCTAACCCCAACCCAGTGAGTGTTTAACACGCACTCAAGTTCTGTTGTGCTACTGAAGTACAATTCTAAGGTACTTGTACTTTAGATGAGTATTTCCATTTTCTGCTACTTTATACTTCAACTCTACTACATTTAAGAGCGAAAGGTTATAGCCTACTTTTTATACATTACATTTATTTGATCTAACTTTAATTTAGTAATTACTTTCCAGATTCAGATTATTAATATAAAACTCATCAATAAAATAAATGATGTACCATTATAGATTAATTAAGACTGTATATATCGACATGGGGAACTTCCCAAGCTAATCAGCAGTAGCTTATATCAAGTAACACAAATTAGCCACACTTTAACCAGCTGCGACATTAAAGTGGTGTATGCGACACATTAATTCATCAAGCAGCTTTCATGTCAAGGACAAATCCATGGATCTGGAGAGTAATATGTGAGGAAGTGGCTGGAGTGAATCTCCAAAATAAAATGTCAATTAACAGATTCTTTGTTGTACATTTTAATGATTTTAGAATGCATATTTGCCAAAATGAACTCCTGAAAGCTGTACAAAACAAAAATAACCAAAACAAATCTTTTTGAAAGGACCAGAGTCATCTCAGTCTCGTCAACTCAAAGCAAACATATACAGTAGGTCAAGTACCAACCAGTGCAACAGGCTCTCTGGTTCTCCTCACATTTAGCCAACCTAACAAGGCAATTATGAAGTATGTACAAATGCATAGAGATTGTATTCAAGCAATATATTTCATCACAAGAAGATGCATAGAGTATCCAGCATAAAGCACAGGTCAGTGTCACCAAAAGATTTTCCATGCTTCCCGACAGAGCAAATGCAAGTCAATAGATACGCTTGAACACCATTTAGAAAAGTAGGAAGCAAAGTAGGACTTCCCTTTACGTTTGTGTAGAAAAATAGTTTCCTTACCGATGTTTAAAATAAACTGTTGGCTTTTTGAGATGCACCGATTTGTGTAACTTTGTAAAAACAAAGTAATATAATAATCATAATATGCATTAATTGTACAGAAGCTGAGAACAGCTGTTGTCAACTATTTTATTTTATCTCGAGATCACATGTTAATTATTTCATTGTGTCGGGAATACAGAGAACTGTTTTCAAACTAATGATTATTTTTGTTATCAATAAATCTACCGATTACTTTGTTGCTTAATCAATTCACCATTTAGTGTCGAAAACAAACAAACAATTTCTCAGGTTACAAGGTCACATCTTCAAATGCTTGTTTTCAAATCTTACATTTCATCCTACAGATAATGTTTGGTTATTTTTGCTAAGAAAAGTTCTGATTGAATGATGAATAAGTTATTTAGATAATTATTCAACTGAAATTGACTAATTGTTGAAACTTTACACAGGATAATTTTTTGGCTTTCTTAAGAAAAAAAAAAGTTCTGGGAGATATCACGAGAAAAGGACTTTTGGACTTTCTCAAAATACACACTCCAGTTGCCAGTTGAGGTACACCGAGCAAAAACGAATGCAATCTAATACAAACAGTCCTGCAATAAAGCCTACCGCTATGAAGGTTATGATGTTCAGTTTGTATTGGAACTGTTTTAGAGAGGCGTTGATTCATCTGCATGAGGATGTAGTTTGTGAGGCTGTTAAACTGAATTTTGTCCATCCCATTTATGTCAATGTGGGTAGACTAAATAAGAGTAAAACAAGTCAGTATGAAATACAACCAACAGCTTCACAAACTACATCCTCCAAAATTACCATAAAGTTGAATCAACACAATAAAAGTTGAACACTGTAACCTTCACGAAGATGGAATTTATTGCAAGACTGTTGCATAAGACTGCATTAGTTTTAGCTCGGTGTCCCCAATGAACCAGCAACTCGGTGTCATTATTCTGTTACCACATTCAAACAGACCAGAGATAAGAAAAACAACTAACTTGTGATCTTGAGATAACGGATGAAATAAAATCATCAAAATCTCAACTGTTCTTGGCTTATGAACATTTTGCGCAACCAATGCAAAATATAAAAAACTTTCAAAGACATCGTGCACAAGCACAACGTTGCATTTATCTCGACCAATGTCAAGTAGGTGAAAATAAAATGGACAGTGATAATATTAATTCTGGTAAAGAACAAGAAAGAAGGACAAAGTGTGTGTGAGTGGCAAAGGGTAAAAATAAACAGATCCAGTCCACAAAGACGACGCATCCTGCCCCATCCATTAGTGCATTATAACTTGAGCAACATAAAACAATGCACCAACCCACAACAAACAACAGTCACTAGTGTATATAGGAATCCCTGTGCCATTGTCGTGCATCTCTATCTCTACCTCGATCCCTATCTCTGTCTCCGTCTCTTTCCCTGTCCTTGTGTCTTTCTCTGTCCCTGTCTTTGTCTCTGTCCCTGTCTCTGTCTCTCCCGTGGTAGTTGTGATGATTGTGTGCAGGATAGTGATCTGTGTGGTGTGTCCGTGGTGGAATATGCTGGTGATGCCTACGCTGACGGTTGCGTTCATTGTGCTCCTGCTCATAGTTTTCCCCGACGTGTGAATGGCTGTTCCCACGGTGGTGATGTTGTTGCTGTTGTTGTTGTTGTTGTTGGTGGTGATGGTGGTGGTTGCTGTTATGATGGTGGTGGTTATGGCCTCGGTGGTTATAGCGCGTCTCCTCCTCGTCCTCGTCCTCCCCCACCGCATCCTCCACCTCCTCCTCCCTCTCCTCAGGCAGGGGCCTGCGGGGAGGCCTCTGTCTGTAATCCCTGCTTGACCGCACTTCCACGCCGCCGGATGTTTGGTTGTGCTGGGCGTGGCTGTGATGCTCCATCCGGCGGTGGTGGTGGTGGTGATGGTGGTGGGTGTGCTGGGGTTTCTTTGGTTCAGTCTTCAGGAGCTGCTCTTCCTCCTCAGCCCTCGGCTCCTGTGCCGGGGCTGGCGGTTGCTCCTGGTCTAGATGGTTCTCCCGGGAACCCTTCCTCTTAGTGGCAGCGGACTTCTTGTTTTTCTGCCCATCCTGGGACAAGAAAATGCAATGTAATGTCACATACATGTACATGATAAAGACATGATATGAAGAAAGTTTGCTCTAACACAAAAACACACTGTACCCAAGGCTATGGCTGTTTAAAAATCACATCCCAAAGTACTGCATACTACGAACTCAATCTGCATCACATACTTCCTTAACCACTAAGGATTAAGACTGTTCCCACTCAAGTATACTCAAGCAATACATCTTCTTGATCCGGTTTTAAGTTTGACTTTTCTTGATACTTGATGAATGAACCTGTATAGGTTTTATTATTCAGTTCCATTTTTAGTATTTGACTATAATTTCAAGGTTTCCAAGAAGCATCATTGGGAGATGTGCATGCAAGCTGGAGGCAGTAAACACACTAGAGCGACTGAGAGCTGGTGTGGAGGTAAACACCAACAAGTTATTTTTATGCCATAAACTAGAAATTCAGGTTGAACTGAAACTTAGGAGGGGAGGAAAAACAATACTTGTACTTGTACCATTACATTCTACTATTGGATTTTCTGCCTCTTGGATTATTTTAGAGAATATATACACTAGTTTGAAGGTCTCCTCTCGGAAGACTTTGACTTTGTTTTGTCTTGGTCTCAGACAAAGAAGACATATTTCAAGACCACAACTGCAGGTTATCAATAGATTTCCGGAACATTGTCTGATTTATTTGTTATCAGCATTACTGTGAGTGCTCATAGAAAACAAAGATAAATCTCAGCACATAAAAGTCGCCTCTGCAATGCCTTTTGATTATTATACCAAGACATTTATCGTGGTACACTTGTACATACACAAATAAACAGTTTATATGGCAATAAAATGAATCTTCATTTGTATTCTGTGATTGTTTTTATGGGAGTATGGATCTTTCAGATCAATTTGATAAGTGGCTCTGGTTTGCATGCTCCACATTTTATCGTAAGTGTGTCATGCAGTGTGGGACCACCACTGGTCCTGGTCTTGACATGGTCTCCATCCCTCATAGTCTTGGTCTTGTCTTGGTCTCGGTACACTCTGGATCTCGGTCATCACTTGGTTTGGCTGGTCTTGACTGATATATACATCATTTCTAGCTAGTTTCTATAGAAGATGCTACTGTAACTCATCTCTATTACTGCGGTGAAAACTCAGCTACAGCATTTAATTTGAAGGTATCTCACTCACCAGAGGCAGACCTATCTCATTTCTTCAACTTCCCAGTGGAGTAGGATGAGGAAAAATGAAATGAAAATGTTCGATGAATGAATGGAAACAGGTACAGACGCAGCACACTGTGCATTTCCTCTATCTAGACAAATCTACATTCCTGCTAAGCAAATCATTTACTATGCAAACCATTTTTTCCACATTCAGCAGACTGTCTGTACAGATGAGGTGAGTGGGATGAGATGTTTGCGAATTATATTAAATCCTATACCTTTATTGTTTGTGTAGTTGTTGTCTATATTGTTGTTTATATATATATATATATTGCCAGTGAGAGGGAGGTCTGGGTCGGCCTGCTTGACCTGCTGCCACCGCAACCCGACCCCGGATAAGCGGTGGAAAATGGATGGATGGATGGATATATATATATATATATATGTATATATATATATATATATATGTGTGTGTCTGTGTTTCATGTACCGGTATTGCTGAAGGACTGGTGGGCAGCGTATTCTCGGCCAGCTGGGCCACTAGTGCGTTGGCAGGCTCCATCTCTGGCGGATGAGTGGCTCTCCAGTAAGACTCCAGATAATCAGCAACGTGCTCACAGGCGTCAGTTAGCTGATTCTCATCTAAGATGACGTCAAACATCTCCTACAGGAAAATGAGAATATGGACAGGAATAAATAGAAGACCAACAGCAGGAGACAAGACAAAAGACTACTTTATAACTGGGACAGTTTAAAGTGTAATCTGCGACATCCCTGATAACGTGGCATGAGTGTGGGTGGATTTAAAAATAACACTCCTTTGGTAATCACTTAGTTCTTGCATTAACATTCAAATAAATAGGTGTAGGGAATAGGGTCGTCTTAAAAAAAAAAAAAAAGGACAACTATGCAAACACTGACATGGGCATCCAGCAAAAATCGACTTTCGGAAAATATGTGGAATTGACAATGTAGTCAACAACACTAATTCTGATATCTGTAGAATGCATAAAAGCAAAGCCTTAGCAAGGATTTAAAAATACCGAGGTCATGGGCATCAAATTAAGGTCTAAATGCTGTTTCAGAGCTTTAGACACAGAGTCTAAAAGTACTGGATTTAGTCTGACAAAATACCCATCACATGTGATTTTTTAAATTGTGAATATACAGCAAGAAGCACTGATGACATGATGTCACTGTCATCAATGGTGGTCACAGCCCTGCATAAAAGTCAAGGGGCCACCAGTGTATTTCCAGTTTGCACCAAACTCAGTTTTCTTTCAATTCCTGGATAGTTGTTACCAGTGTACTACAGTACAACTTCAACTAGCTAAGCCAAATGTATAATTATGTGCAACAACTGAAGTATCTAATATAACAGGCATGATAACAATCCATCTTTTCATTCATCTATTCAATATAAAATGCAGTATTACTGAACAGTAGCACCACTTTCACACGTTGGCCACTAGATGGCACTCACCGGAGGGCACTGGGCGAGCTTGTCTGCTGCCACCATCTGAACATTAAGATGCTTGGTCTGTGACTTCCCTCTAGTCTTGATCAGTCTCGTCAACACCTACAGGGAGGAGAAGGAGGGAGGGGAAAAAAAGGTGATGGTGGCTGTTGGCATTTTACAGGGTCGTGTTTGTTTAGTTCATGCAGTGTACAAAATATTGAGAGAATTGAGGAACAGTCAGTCCAAAAGAAGGTGCAGGTCTCTGGCGATGCTTACCTTTGGTGAGGAGATCTTGACGTAGACGAGGATCGGCGCCAGGGAGGTCTTGGACACCTGGATGGGGTGGTTAATTGTGTCTGCATCTAGAACCACCAGCTGCAGGCTGCGGGCCAGCTCGAAGATGCGCTCCACCTCCCCCTGGATCTGGGCTGCAAGAGCAGAGAGGAAAAGCACGACTTTGACACCGGAGATCCAGGAAACAAAATCAGCTGTGCATATTTCATTTTCTTGTTAACATTTAACTCGTGAAATTAGATATATTTTCTTATCACTGAGCCACAGCTTTGAGTTATAATTTCACACATGTATGATTATTTATTTGAAACATTATTTGAAATGCCATTGTGTGCAATTTTGAATGATTTCATATGTAATTCCATTATTAGAGCTGGTATGTGAAGTTTTCCATCTGTCTATATTCTATATATTCAAGATGCAGAAATGAATATAGAATCTGAAATATCTTATTTTGAAGGTTAGATTTGCCAAACCCAAGGTAAGTGGAGAAATAAATGATCAAGTCTTATTTTGAGATTAAAAGTCGATGACACAAAATCTTCCCACAAGTTCCATTTAGTGTAGCTATTGTAGACATTTTAATTGAATCACATAAACTACCTCAGCAGAGGATACAAGCGTAGATGAGAAGTGCTCAGAAAAATAGACTTTTGACTCTAACCTACAATTCCACGATGAATGGGAACAAACAGTAACAGGACCTTGTGGAGATCTTGTTCTGTCAACAAAGTGTATTTGTATATGGTTTTGTAACCAAACGAACCTTTTTCTGCATCTCAATTCAACTCAAAAAACTAAATCTCATATTTGTATTTCTAATGTAAAACGAGTCAAGTAAAAACGTACTTGTGAGCTGCTCACATGACACAACCCTTCAACAGATTAAAAACTGTAAATGCGACCAATGACGAAACACTGCCTACTCAGTGAGACTACTTTAATACAGTGAATGATGTATTTTTATTTTCCTGGGTAACCAATCCACTAAGACAAACAGGATGTGTTGCACTCATGGGAGGACCATTTTAAAGAATGGCCACTAGAGGAAGCAAAGGGAAGCAGAGCATGGAAGAGGCACTGGCTGTTTTCAGTCCTACTGACAAATATCTATAACATAACAGTGAATTACATCTGAACAAATGTAAGCCCACTGAAACGATGAACAGATAAAACACCGGCTTGTTGTGAACAGTGGCTAATGGTGCTGATGAGGTAATGAAAGGAAGGTGATTCAAACAGACAGACACGGACTACCAGTCCTTTCAGTCATACATACCAGCAGCATCTGGGATGAGGGAGCAATGAGAAAGAAAAGAGTAGAGAAAACCAAGTAAATCTTATCCCCCAACCAAGGGTGGATTAAACCGAGCCTAATTCACAATGCCACTGCGGTAAAGAAAGTACACAATCTTTACTGACAGTCCGAAAACCCGCTTATGTCTCAGATGTCAACCTGTTTTCAGTCTTTGTGCTAAGCTAAGCTAACTGGCTTTGATTGCAGACAAACATAAAGGTGGTAGGGATTTGCTCATCTCACGCTCTGCAAGAAATCAAACAAGCATATTTCCCAAAATACAATCTTCATTCGGGTGCACACAGTGACAGTATAATCTCTTTGAATGAAAGATCGGCTATGCAGAGTACATCACATCACATCACTGCACAGTGTTTCAATCAGGCAAAGAAAAAGGGAACGTCTGACACATTCATTTCAGACCTGGGTGAGATGGAATCAGTTGCTTTCTTTGAACCTAATTAAGGTTGCAAGTGGGTGAGGTTTGCCACCAGGGACAACACGACGAGTGCAAGAGAGCTAATCAATTACAAGAGGTTATTTTAGAAGTTCATTTAGTGTACTTTTCTGTGGCCGATGCTATCTGAATTGTCCTGATGAGGTAAAGCTCGGCTGCCTGGCTCTCCAACCAGATAAAAGTGGTGCCAAAGATAATTTGCTACGACTGAGGCTCCAGGTCGGGATGATGAAGCCATGTACCTAAATTGGAGCGAGTGTTCGACCGATCCATTAAGGCCTTTTTGCCAGGGTTGTTGAGGATGGAGCGCTTAGCCAGAGAGATGTCTGCTGTGACCCGTGTAATAGTAATCCTGGAGAGGAGACAGAGGAACAGGGTGTGTTACACAGTTTCATTGTGTTTTATTTCCACGTGAAAGGTGTGACACTGGAGAATTAAATCAGAACTTACCTGCCTTCAAATCGATGTTTTAAAAAGTCAAAGAGTGCTTTTTGCATCATATCTGTAACCTGGAAGCACACATGAAACATGGAATTTAAATTAAAGTCTCCTCTATGCAAGTTAAACACAAATACCAATATTTATTTGAAATATATTAGGTGTGTCAGGTTTACAGCATCTTAGACCCGTCACAAGTCAAAAGCAACTTAGACTACAGAGTGTGTGAGGCTGACTTACATCTAAGCCCTTCAGTGATGGTCCCATTAGAACCACAGGACGCATTGTAGGCACTACATCATACATAGACACCTGCTCCCCCTGCAGACACAAAGAAGAAACTGCTGATGCAACATGTCGCTTGCGGTGCAAACAGAGTGAACATGGATGAAATCTGATTTTTGCTTTTGTTTTATTCAGCTCTTTGTAATAAAAAAAGGGTCTATTAAAAGTGTTTGGGATTATCTAAATAAGTAACAATGAGTTGAAACAAACATTGAGTTGCTTACCGGTTTCTTTTTCACCTGCTGATTGGCTGCTCATGCAGAAGGATAAGAGAGGTGTCGCATGTTAACTCGCCAATTATCACAAATAGACAACAAAATATTTTGATATTTTACTTCTTATATGGCGTAGCACACACACTGACCTTGGGATGGAGGGGTATACTTCTTTGAGTTCATATCTTGAGCTACTTGAGTGGATGCTTTGCTGAAATGAGAGAGCAATCCTGAATGAACTCATGTCTTCCCCACTAAAATGTTTCAGTTATTGAAACTTCAGTTTTTAACAAACTGCAACAATCACAACCTGACAGCTTATCCTTTGCAATTTCCCTATCCTGTGCAATTATCTTTGTTTTCTCTTGTACAATGCTACACACCATAGAAGCAATTACCATCTCCAAAAATCTATGTTGTTATCTTATATGTTTGTATTTTCTTTGCCTGCTTCTTTGACCATTGAGCTGCTGTAACATTTGAATTTCCCCAGTGAGGGATCAATAAAGTAGTTATTTATCTATCTGTCTCTTATCTATGGTGAAAATAGAGCACTAGTGTCTAAGCTCTGAAATAATGTGTGCTTACAGACTGTATATCTACTTACATAAGACACAGCTATATAAAGCTCGGAGGGTAAATCCCTTGAAGTGATTCAGCACACACAGTTGCCACCAAAGCTAAATTTCCAAGATCCTCTAGATGAGTTTCTTTCAGCCTAACTGGGTCAAGTCAAAATCCTTCAGTCTGTAGTGGATCCTCCTGCCAGCCAGACTGATTAAAGTAAAACAACCTACTGACTCAACAAAAGGAAAACATTCCTACTTCTCAAAGTAGTTCCATATCTTTGAAACGTCTTTGTTAACCGTCGCATGTGGGGAGATTTTCTGTCCTTGACCTCCCTTTTAATGTTCCGCTCTTATACTTTCCTTTTCATGGTTTTCATCTTTCAAGACTGGATTACCAGCTGGGCCCTGCAGCTCCTCCCCCATAAACCTGCAGGATCCCTGTTCAATGTGTCCTCACATAATGGTTCCTATGATATCTTACTAGAAGTTTTCTGTTTTCCGACGAATGTCCAGCAACACAAGCTATCAGTGAGAGTGTATCGGCAAAAAAAACCTACTTGGTTAGGTTAGGTTGAAGGAAAGGTCGTTGGGTTAAAACGACTACGGAAGTGGTGTCACGGTACGGAAGTTACGAGACGAATAAGTCAGCTTCGACGTGTGTAAAGCATCTTGAGGAAAGAAAAATGACTTGACTTGGACCACAACTCATCCCTAACTGTGTGCATTACATTTGTTGGATACTTTGGACACTAATGCATAGAGAGTTGGAGATAAAGGGGTCAGTTGAGGCCCTCAGCTCATTGTTGCCACAGTGCAGCCTTGCGGTTTGATCCCGCCAGGCTTGCTTCGCTTCTGTCAACAAAACAATTCCTGGTGTGACCCTTTCCAACTGATTACACCTCTCTGCCCAAAATGTAGTTTTCCTAATCTGTGGATGTTTTGAAAGAGCATCAGATGAATGCTGAAAACGTCATATAATCCTCTGTATATCACTTTATAATGATATTTGTGTTTGTATATGTGCGGGACCAATAAAGATTATTATTATTAGGATTACAAGATAAGGCAGCACAAAGCAGCATGGGCTCGTGTGCTCGTTTGTTACCCCGTTGTGTTGAAGCCAGTGGAAAAGAGAAACGTGCTGTACATACTTGGCTAAGGCCTTGGCAGCTTTCCTCGCCTGCACTTCTCTTCTGATGAGAATGGTTTCCAGATTGACTGGACTGGGGACGAAGCCCACCACACCATCCTCCTTCACCGGCCGGCCGATCCACCACTCATTGTTAAACTTCTGGTTATCAAAAAGAAGAAGAAAAAGCGTGAGTTTAAGGCCTGGCTAACATTCATTTACACTGATGATGTTAATGACTCTATTCTACCTCTGCATTATTACATTTAACGTCATTGGGACCTTCCACCTGTGTGTGTGGGTGTGTGTGTGTGTGTGTGTGTGTGTGTGTGTGTGTGTGTGTGTGTGTGTGTGTGTTTCCAACCTCTTTGACATGGAGGAAGTCTCTGGCCTCAAAGGTGACGGCCTGGCCCGGCACGGGAACGTTGTCGTCGTCTGCTGGCGTGTAGGAGAAGTTGCAACGTACTGCAAATGCCACAGGCTTGTACTGGAGACACAGGACACGTGTTTGTGACATAATGTTATTCCTAATGGATGTAGTCATCTTTAATCCCTGCATTTCACCCACTTACACACTTTTCACACAAACAAAATTCACTTTTCACTCAATTTCAATCATCGATTTTAGACGTTATAATGAATCTACACATACTGTATTATTAGGTTATCGCATGCATCATGTGCACAGATACAACCATGCAGCCTAATGCAGGGTAACATGACTATTGTGACGGTTGACAGAGCAGAGCAAATCTATTCTAAATGAGCCGGAGATATCCCTGTGATTTAGCATGAAAAAGAACAATATAGTGTGATCTTTTGAATCCCTTCAACATATGTTAAACTTACAACTTGTATTACATTATGCTCTATTTTTCTTGAATTTTTTTATTAAAATGCATTTTAATCTGCTCCAGTTTCAGAGTCCTGGTATCGTTCATGCTGTCACAATGTCACGGCTTACTGGGAGCCTTCCTTCATGTCATTAGTGACACAACTTCAATTTAAATTTAAATTCGAAACGTCTGCTGTGATGAACACCTACTGCATCCTCTTCTTTGCTTCACAATATCCGTATGCTTCCTCCTGACCTGGGCCTGTTGGTGGCGTAATCCTATCAGGGTCAAATGTCAGCGGCACGCAGATCAGGCTGCTAATTACTTCACTTTGGAACGATGAGGCTGTGGGAGAGGTCGTGGGGTCAGCAGGGGAGGGGCTGCGTGTGTTTGCCGCTTTAATTACAGAGCACCAGTGGCAGCGCAGTAAATCCGTAAGGGGGGGGGTTTAATTCAATATTCAAGGGGACGTCTATCAGCGGGCGCTGCTTAGAAGGAAAAGAGAGGGGAAGAGTTTGATATCAGCTGTGATGTTTTTATATATTTGTGTAATGACCTAACAGTGCATACTCCACCCTCATCTCTCTAAAACGCACTCCACAGATAGCTTCTCAGACACAGTATGTGCTTTGTATTGCACATAACATAACAGTGTTACATAAGGAGGCTTAGCGAGCACAACGTATTGCTACTTAACAACACAAGCAAATACACTTTCCGAAATCGGCGATCCAACATTCACATCCACTTCACGCAGTGTAAATCTCAGTGTAAATGTATGTTATTGCTGTCTTGTATGCAAAGCAGTTGGCCAGAATTCATTTAAACTGAATGAGCCGTAATCAATATCCTTCATTAACATCCTTCACCAGACATCAAGCGTATAAAGGGAAGACAAGGATGAAGACTGCAATGACTCATTTTAATAGCAGAATATTGCTCGGGTAATCCGATGTCCTGGCGTGTGTGTTCCCTGTCCGTGATGTAATCGTGTCCTTGAGAGCTGCCGCTCTGTGAGGGTCACGTTGGGTCGCGTTGGGTCGGGGTCGTAATGTTACCATGATGCAACAGTAAGAAAGTACCTTGGCCTTCTCCAGCTGCACCTGGGCGTTTCTTTCCTCGACGACGTCCGAGTCCTGACGCTCTCCCTGCAGGAGAGACAGAGAGTAACGACAATTAGTTTTATCAATTTCTCTGCAACGATGTGATCGTTGTGCATTGAACAGTATTAAAGACTTTTGTGTTCTGATTGAATGCTTCACTGTTCACATGCCTCTCATTTACTTTTTACTCCCCTAGAAGCCTCCTCCCTTTAATTATCACGACGTGTTGCAGCATGATCCCTCCCTGTGACGCTCAGGTTTATGTGCCATGTGTCCCAACGATTAGATTGTCCTCTCAAAGACATGATAATTAATGCCCTCTGTGTCATAGCCAAGAGGTGGCACAGCCCTCTGCGTCAATATGGCACTCAAGATACACACTTGCATCCCAAAGTCACAAATCAGCTTTATGGTTGCAGACAGTCTGCTCAGTCTGGTGCATTTTAACAACACTGTGATCTTGATCTTGTCGAAGACGATAATAGAGATATTCTGTGAATATTAATGACATGAAACTTTGGTAAAGGCCACGACATTTTACACTATGTCATTTATTTCATCTTTACACTGTTGGACACTTTGATATGTGGACAGGAGGTGCAGAAGATTGAACCACCAACACAACAATTTGTGAATCCTGTAATGCAATATTTATGTTGACTGTATATCAGAAAAATTATCTTAAAATGATCGCTTCTGTTTTGTGTCATTGAGGTTCACAATGAAAAACAAAAGTACAGCTAACAGTACAAATGATAATGTTAGTGAAGCATGACAGAGTTGAGTAAACTCTCCTGCAGCTGAACCTTTTCAACTCTGTCTCCTAAAAATTCTGTTTAGATTAAATTGATCTGCATTAGCAAATATTTGTAGGCAGCATACACAAACAGAAATGTAAAGAATGACAATTTGTTTTTTTGGAGTCACATCGTTTAACTTTTTCAACTATCAGAATCTTGTTAGTGAGGTTGCCTGGTTTGGTACCATCGTGCCTCTAACAGTTCCAGCATGTAACTCTAAAAACATGCTGTAGTCTTTACGTTTTGGTTTTTCTGCAGATTAAAAAAAACAACATGTTCATTATTGAGCTTGGAAAGAGCCTGGCTTGCATCTCGTCTTTATGCCAGCTGAGAACTCAAATACAAATTGTATGGACAGAGTTTCCTCAACGTTACCTACGAGCTTGTGAAGCTCAAAGAGAGTTGCCATCTTGGCAGTGACGACATTGCCGAACTCTAAAAATGGGGAAAGAGGTGGATCGTCGGTGGAGCTGAGGCCGGCCCAGATGGTGCAGCAGAGCAGACATCTAGCAGCGAGTGACCTCAGATGGCACCAACCTGTCACTTAAAGCTGCCATGCCCTCAATTATGCCTAACTTGAACTCTTAATATAATTAAAACGGGTGAGTTGTATACAAATTCACCCTCCCTTAAGTTGTCATGAACAGGAAAATTAGTTATTGGGACCAAAAATTGTTGTTTAGTACCAGGTTAATTTCTGCTGTAAAGTTGGGCATTTTAAGATGAAGGTCAATGGGATTGCCTTGTTTTTAGAGGCAGCCTCGAGTGGCCATTTGAGGAACTGCAGCTTTTGGCTTAATTTCTCGGCACCATACATTGCACTTGATTTTAATAGCCTAAACCTAATGACATAACGACAAACTTTTCCCTGTGATGTCTGTGTAGTCGAGATGTTACACTTCCTGGACTGCAACAAAAGTTGCCAGCGAACGTCATCCAGGCAGCAATTATTGTTCCGACAAAACTTCTCTGGCAATGCAAATTATTAGAACATAAATGTATTTTGTCGGAGACAGGGCTTCCCTATTTCATGTTTCTGACAGAGAGTGATGAGTCCGTGTTCACTCTTCAAACCTCAACCAGCAGAGAGCAACTTCCCTCTGGTTCTCTTTTACCCCATCACACACTCTCTACTTTATTCCAAGTGAGTGCACACCGCGCTGCCTGACACTAGTGACTTTGACGACGACGGATTATACAGCATGTCGTTACTATAGGCCAATAGTTATGATGAATCTATCTTGAACTTAAAAATACTCTTTTTATTATGAAATTACTTTAAGTGGAAAGAGAGAGGGGAGAGCTGCAGGAAGGTGAGAGGGGAAAAGAGACTGTACCAGTAAAGAGTCAAATGAGGATACATGAATTATTTTAGGAATTATCATCTGGGGAACATGACTGTTTATGGCAATCCACCGTAAGGAACAGAATAGAGCTCCTCCTGTGGTTTTCTTATGGATTTGAGCACAAATAAAGAAAATCCAGTATCAAAATTCATCTCAATTGCCGAGATAAATAAGAGTTCAGAGCGGTCCAACATAGCTAACAAGGTCAAGCATAACACAAGCAAGGGAAAAGGGGCTACCCAGCATACTAATACCTTATTCAAAAAGTACTAGCACCATATTGGACATAACAGATTAAAATGCATGGCTCCATTACAAATTGAACGAAAAGTATCACTAAATTATCAAAAGTTAACCAGAAATAGTCAATAGCTCAGAAAGCTCATCTGAAAATAAATTGTCTTACATGGGAGAAAACAAATAATTCAAAGTAACCTTGGAGGCAAATAAGGCCTCAAATAATGTGACACAGGAAGGATGAAGACATGACGTACGTATTAATAAGGTGATGGGATGGTGTTTGTAATTAGCGGAGAGAATTAGTTACAGAAGCAGGAGGATGTAGAGAGACTTCAACATGGTGAGGAGGGAATAAGAGGGGAGGAGGAAGGAAATCTCCCCCCGGGCAGAATTATGCGCAGGCATGGCTTCCTGTTTACCCATGGCTGGTGTAGACATCTGCTCGCACAGCACCCGCCTCTCCGGCGAGCCAATGTCACCCAGCCAATAGTACAAAACGCCCCCGCTGAATTATTAAACAATGTTGAGCTCTACTGCAGGTGATTTAGAAATGTGTAGTGAAGAGCTGAATTATCAACTGGCTTTTATTGTTTCACATTAGTGTGAATTTGAATCCGTACCCAAAGAAAAAGTCACAGATTATAATGTATCCACATCATTCAGATATAAGTGATTATTGCTTAAATCTTAGCTATTGTGACGGCTCGGCAGTCTCAAGCAGGTTTCAGTTCATAGAAAATGTGACTCTAGACTGTATTTTACAACCAAACAAGTTTTAAAAGCAAGAGTAGTTATAATACTTTCAAATAAATTGTTTTTTACATCAATGTTTTTCATGGCTGGAGCCATGTACTGTATATCTCTAATTAGAGCTGAATGGATTAATTGATTAGTCACACAACAAAAGAATCATCTGTAACCGTCAATTGTTTCAATCATTTTTAATTCTCGGATTCCACCTTCTCAAACGTTTTTCTTTGTGATACATCAAAACTTTTTTTTTGACTGATTGTTGGCAAAAACTAGCAAATTCATCACCGGTTAGATGGGTATTTTGTGACACTGTACAGACGAACTGGCGTATTATCTGATGCTGAAAATAATAATTAATTGCAACCGTATTATTATTTTTGACGGAGCACCTTATGTGATAAAATCAAGGGATTCACTTCAGTATACCCTGTCTTTTAAAAAAATGTCCAATACGGCTCCATTCTAATTCAGTCTTTTATTCGAACTCTTCTTCATTCATCCAACCCCCCTTACTTCCTTCATTCCTTACTTCCTCTCCCCTTCTGTCCCCCGTGTCCCTCCCAGTTGGACAGCCACCCCAGCCCATTAGCGTGATTATGTGGCATGGAGGGTGGGCAAAGGAAGGTGGAGGACAGGGATGACGGTAGGGTGCATGAACAACTAAAGCCACCGTCTCTCGTGTGCTACCTGAAGGTGACTTCTTTCCCGCTCAAAAGCGTCTACACAGCTCTTTCTGCACTCGCCAGGAGAGTACATTAGGAAAGCAGCGTCTGATTGGGGAGATGGACTACGTCCCTAAACTGAAATAATCAGAACCATCGAGACACCGGGAGCCAGCTGGCTGGCCGTGAGGCCTGCGATTCCCCAGAGGACAAACTGAACTGGTCTGAAAGAAATGCTGAGATGAGAGATACAGCAAGCAGTTCATCCAAATGTATCATGTTTAGCTTTTTATTGTTTGATTAGTTTGAGCGGCTGAAGAAACGTCAATAAATGTGTCTGAGTTAAACTCACACAGACTGATCTTACTGAATTTACTTTGATCACTAAACAAAATCTCAAATTCAGCAAGATGACATGTTACTTGGTCTAATAAAATAAGAAACATACAACTGTCTCAAAGCCCTGCGTCGCTTGTATCGTGCTTAATGGGCCCAAAACAAAAGAGGACATTGTTAGGTGCAAAAATAAAACAAAGTAAAATTCCCACATAAGCTTCAGACCAACAGGAACACACTGCAGCAGAAAATACTTAGCCCAACCAAACCAGTTAGTGCTCATTTGCAAACACTTACAATGACGCATGAATCTCAGCTTTGTGTGTCTTGTACACGTTTTGGTCTTAAGTCTTTCCACAGAAGTCAAGAAGACGCAAAAAAAGGCTTTAAGGATGAGAAACAAATAGTTGGTTTGGCAAATGTATGTGAGGTTAACATGACAAAACGGGGTTCAGTTATACTCTGCTTTACAGTCAAGGGAAAGCAACACTGCAAACAAAATCCATATTTCCGCCATTTACCGACTCATAAATGACTCCCAGTGAGGAAAATACTTCTCCCGTTGTAACTTGAATGCTGTAACGCGTTCGTACCGCCATTAACAGTAATTGAGCAGTACGTTCAAATCAATTAGAGATCGATGGAGGAGCTATTGAAGGGACACTTAGATCTCCGTAGAGAATGTCAGTATAATTAAGTCAACTTGGCAAAGTTCAACATCACTGCTGCTGTACTTCCCACAGTGGAAGACGTCAAACATCTAACGGCAAAGTGTCATTCAAGCTGGCAGCGTGAAGGGTCCACATGAACCAAGTGAAAATGTAACTCAACAGGGACCGAGATCATGTCTGGATGACGGGTGGGTGGCAGACCGAAAAGTGTGTGTGTGTCTTTGAGTCTGCCTGGTTAGGCGGGCACTGTTTGTTTGTATTTAGAGATGAAGTGTGTGTACGTATGAGTGTGTAGGTGTGTGTGTGTGTGTGTACTCTTGCCACTCGCTATGCCACTGAGGCTTCCTGCTTCTTGCTGGCTGTTCTCCAGGTGCTGCTGTTATCTATGTTATCAACTAGGGTTAAGAGTGTCCACCTCACCATTAGCAGCTCCATGCATGAGCAGGTCTGTGGTGCCTTCATCCCGGTGGCAGCTGAGTGTCCCTATTGTGACCTATTGTGCTAAGTGGAGGAGAGTGAGCTCCAGCTTGGTGGTTGGTGGGAGCACCCTGACTCTAACACCGTCCGCTGCCCGGCAAAATAGGCTCATTATGCAGGAACGTCACGGTAAACTTGCTGATATGCTTACATGAATGAGCTTCAGTGGATTTGAAGTTGCGTGTCAAAAAGGACAAAAAAACGCTGCATGCCTCCCAAGCAGCGTTTACTAGCACGAGCGGGACACTGATGTAATTGTGACTAATTTCCAATGAGCTCACTGGCATGAAGCCCGGGTGTTCACAAATTCACAAATATTTTCTTGTTTTAGCTCTTTCTGCTGCAGAGGAACAGCAACATTTCACCCAATAACACCAATCCTCTGGCAGTTTAGCTGCTCATATATACAGATACTGCGCTGATTTCTTTGCTACTCTATCTCTGCTTCATCAACATGCAGTGTGTGTGTCCGGTTTCCTCCGACGCCCCGTCTAATCAGCTGCTCTGCATCATCTGTCTGAAGGAGACTGGCTCCATGCCCTCTGCCTGACGCTTCCATAGAGCAGATACGGCCCGGCTGGCACCGCCACCTTTACTTTGGCACCAGCCTTCGTCTGTGGAGTTAAAGGCTGCATCACGGCCCTTTAGATCTCCAATTATAGATCAAGAGTGGCAGCGAATCTGTGCAGCACTACAACCGATTTATGTCAATACAGTATGTTAATATGGGTTGCATTATAACTGATGTCGCCAGTTTGTGGTTACGAAAAGAAAGTTTACTGTTGCTTTCCTTTCTCTCATGAGCACATATGCAGTTTCCCATGACCACTCCAATTATCAGTCATTTTTTAAACAATAACTCCTTGAATTCAGACGGAGGTAAATAAAAGCAAACTTCCCATTTATAGTCAATGGCCGTGGATTTCTACAGAGTTCATCAGCTGTAGCTAACTCGTTAATTAAGCTAACGTCGGCTTCATAGGTTGGTTGGAAACGATTTGGGCGTTGACATCTTGGTTTTTTGTAACCAATGTACGGAAGGTATTTTAGAGACGCCGTATACGGCTCTGGTAGGGTAGCTACCTGTCGATCACAGTAAGTCCGCCCTAAAGCATACTCTGCTTTATGGTCTGTTGTACTTTAAGTGGACCATCATTTACGAAATGAACATCAAGCTGTATTGAAGAAGACTTGAAACTAGCGATAAACTCATGTTTACAATGTTTACTGAGGTAATAAATCAATATGAAACGTATTCATGAAACATATTTTTGATTCAGAAACGTCGAGATTCAAAGTACCCCGTGGTTTTCAGGAACGTAAAATAACCAAATTTTTTCTGCCGACTGCAGTTGTCAGGCCTGACACCAATTGTAAATGTAATGACAAGAGTAACATACATTTCTTAACATCATATACGATTTTCATATCATTTCTCTGTTGACTACTCATAGAAAGCATTTACTTCTACAGAGATTTGGGCTCCTCTCTCTGGGTCATGATTGTCTCTGAGTAAGGAGATTAAGATAGCATGCGTCAATCCAGGATTTAGAGCGAGAGAGACAAATGCAACCTCCTCACAGACAGCCAACGCTGCTGCTTGGACCGCGTGGTCTCCAGCTCCCCGACAGTCATCGGATAGAGATACAGTAGCTGCAATAATATCATCCATACAACTTAATTACTGGATCGCTTGGCTCCTGCAGCAGATACATTTCATCTATCATTCATCGTTCATAGATAGCAAGTCTCCCTGCTCTTCTGCATGGCACATCATTATGATGCAACACGATTACTGCTGGTATAAGGAGGGATGTGTGGGGGAGATTATTAAAAAAACTTGCCAACCATTCCTGTTATGATCCTCTCACTGAGGCAATTATTGAACCACCATTAACTGTCATCTCTGTCACTCTTCTACAGTATAAAAAACATTGAGAACAGTTTTTAGGAGGTTAAACACACAAAAAATGGATATTTAAAAATGACAAAAACAGTATCATCAACTTGGAAACCGTCCTAACCCCAAAGGAAACGGGTTTACTCGCCTTATTACTCTACTTCCTGCCCGGAAGGAGAGCAGGTATCTGGATGTAATGCCCTGAGGCACAGCTACTAAGAGGCTTTTCCTATTCCAGGTAACAAGCAGTGGGCCACTATGCAGCACACTGTAGTGCAAGACAGTAGGCCGTCCAGAGACTGTGAGGTTTCCACAAGCTCCTCTTTGTGAACCTCATGTGTTATCTTTACATTCGAGTCACAGAGCTGATCATGATCTGTTTTAGTAAACACCCAGAGATCTTTAAAAAACCTAGAATTAATGTTGTTCTGAAAGTATTTCAAGAACCCCGAACCTGCATTTACTGATTTTCTGGCCAACAAACAAGATATTAACTCAACACTGACAGCTGTTAAAAGTGGCACATGCGCAGTACAGATCGGGCAGGTGCTAACGGAGATTGTAGAGCTGGCAAAATGTCAGCATTTGGGCAATATTTTACACGGTCAAACGTGTTTTACAAATGGTTTAACCAGAGCAAGTCTGTATAACAATGCTAACATTGTTTTGACATTTTGCTAGCTCACACGCTCGACACAAGCTCTTGCAAGTTTTGAACAACACAAAAAACGCATTATTTCACATGAAAATACGGATATAGACTGATGACAAAACGTTGTCATTTTGGTTCACGGTAAATTAAGTGAGAACATACAATATGTTATTTCCAGCTATCATCTTTGTTTATTTAAGAACTAAGAATTGCAACAACAACAAAAAAAACAACAACATTATTGTGCAGCAGACAGAATATTTCTTCACCTAGATGGCTGGAAGAGACTTCAAAGATTCTGGATTCACCTTCATTACAGCAGTAAGTGTTGTTAAACAACCCTCTGGGTTTTTCAAAGATTGACAGATGCATCACTTTGTGACTTGAATGCAACGGTAATGCACGAGAAGCACAAAGGGGTGGTTTCTCACTAAAAGAGATCAGTTCTCTCTCTCTGCATGTGTTTAATATTGGTATCGACTTCAATTGTAAGTAAAATATTACATTTTTTTTTTTTTATTTAAATTTTTTCAGGCAAATGATGAGAAAGATGTAGGTTATAACATCACAATTACTTTTTTTACTCATAGGTAAGAAAGATGCAGCTCATGAAATCAGTGTGTGCATTGATGGCTTGTACAGCATGAGGAACAGGAACTTGGCTGCACCCACTGCTGCTGCTACATGTATAACATATGGAGTGAAATCTGTTCCAAAAGCACACAGAGTTGACAGAAAGTCCAAGAGTGAGTGGAAGAGAAGGGCATACGACTAAATCCATCTGATCTTCACAGGCCATTGGTTATGCAACTCTCTCTGGAGCCCGTGGTTTTCAACTAGACACATGACATGATACATGCAGCATGAGCTGCGTCTCTATCTGCCCTGCGCATTGTGACTGTCTTAGTGAGTGCAATGATGTGGAAAGGCCTCACACAAGGATTAACGCTGAGTGCAACAGATGGTGCATTCTTCTACCCTTCCTGTTCACACACACACACACACATACACACACGCACAGACACACGTACACACAACACACGCACGCACGAAAAGAAAACACCAGAATACTGGATATTTTACCTTTTTCTTGGGTGGCATGGTGGTTAAAGGGGTCCTCTATCACCGTCGGAACAACCAGATTAGATTATCGTTCAACTGGCTCCAGTAAATGAGACATGGACAAGTGTGCCATGAGACAGAGTTTACCTCTGAAGCAGGTGGATGTGTCCGCCGTGTTGTGCGTAAAGAAAAAAAGTATGTCCAAAGAAACCGCGACGCGCAGGACACCGCCGGAGACACCGATAAGTTGCGTGAGGGGTTTCACTTAAGTCTGTATTGTGAGTTGAGTGTAGTTACCCTCTCCTGAGTCCTCGGAGTATTAAAGGCTTATTTCTTGGTGCGGCATCTGTTGCGCCGCGCACCGCTCGCTCTGACCTCGAGCACCGAACAGACCAAGAAGGTGTCCAACCGTCCGCACTGACCATGCGTGTTACATAACGCAGAGTGGAGCGTCTCATTTATGTTGTTGAACGGAGTTGGCTCCCTCCGCTGAGCCAAGCAGTGATGATTAGTGTGTGTGTGTGTGTGTGTGTGTGTGTGTGTGTGTGTGTGTGTGTGTGTCCAAACAACGTCCTGGGTTTGGCTGCACAAACAGGAGTATTATAATGGCCTGGCTACAAAATAGAAAGATGAAATTAAAAAGCAAGCACGACATAATTCATAATTCATACAAACAGATCTACTCATCATCATCATCCCGACAGCGAAATAGTGATATTCCTTCACCACATTAGTTCAGTGTCACTTTGCTACTGCTGAAAACTCATTGCTTGCCAAGTATCAGCCACACACACAGACTGCCCAAAGCATATCTCTGGTTTCTTCATGTATCCTTAAGTTACCTTCTGCGGACCTGCTCTCACGGGCCAACGTGTAAATATCATACATACTGTAAAGCACCCTTAAGGCATGGTTACAAGACTGATTGTAATAATCAGTCTGCCTGTCCTCATCTGGGGTCCTTCCTCTGCTGCCAGCTCTCCTAATGGTGACAGTATAATCTGACTATAATGGACCCAGCAGGGGTCAAGAACTTTAGGAGGTGATTTATACCCTCCTGTGTCTCCAAAATGACTGGAAATATGCCTCCAGTAGTGGGGGAAAGGGGGCAGTTGTGTCATTAAGCCTTAAGGAAACGACTGCTTAAATAGCAGAGGACTTTATTTGCACATATACATCTCGCAACCGCCGTGCAACACTTCGTATCTCCAGCCTGCTTGCTACCAGCATGTTGGCCATCAGCATGCTACCCTTCAGCCTGCTTTAGTATCTGCATTTGAGTCCTGCTCCTGCACTCCAAACTACAACAGTACGAACTTCTGCAAACCACTCACTCCTCCTTGTCTGTTCGCCACCATTCTGTCTCCCAGTTTGTTAACCTCCCGCCTGCTAGCAACCAGCCTCCAGTACATTAGCCTTGAGTGGCCCGGCCGATACCTGGTCTCATGATCGTGTTCCTGTAATGTCCCGTCTCCGTGGTCGTCCTCCAGAGGGGTCCTGCCATCGCCATCGGCCTCCTGCTCGACCTGCAGATGGACCCCGCCGGCGTCTATTTCGCCTTTTGTTTGAGTTGTTGTGAAAATTGACATTTAAAAAAATTGCGCAGCCAGGCAGGCAATATGGTGAAGTAATAAAATCTCAAGGGAGAGCTTTGGGAGGCGAGGGGCTTAGATGACTGTTGCGTAACTGAGAATGGAAAGAAAACCATTCAGGGCTGAGGTCCGCTGGTCCCGGCTGTGACAGTGTGGAGCAAGAAGCCATGACACTGACCTCTGAGTCACACACACATCTGGACCTATACACGCAGCCGCACACATGCCCTTATCAATTCCTCTACTGCTGGGGAAGACATTGCCATCAGAGGTCACACCACTGTGATCACGCCATCTGTGACGGAGGAAGAGACTGTAAATTGAAGGTCCCAGCATTTAGCCCATGACCTGGGATTGAATCAGACTCTGGGCTTTACGGACACCTCAAATCTCCTCCAGTGCCAACAAAACACTCAAACAGAGTCCCTGCTTACTTTGACTCCCTCTGCGCACAACTGTGAAGCTGTTACATAAGGCGGTCTGACGAGCCACCCATGGAATACATGAAGAAGCTAAAATATCCTTCACACCCACTGAAGCATTTAAACACTCTGTACATTAGCGTCATGCGCCCTCCAAGTATGTGAGCATTTATTTCTGAATCTGGAGTGTGGACCCTACACTTTAAATAATGAAAAAGTTATTTTAAATACCTTGAGCACCAATCAATGGAAGCGGCCACATACAAGAATGCTATATTGCATATTGCCATGTGTCACCTCCATTGTTGTGCATGTGGTGTGTTGCAACAGTGGCACACGGAGCAGAGCGGTTCACTTTGACCAGCGAATCAAGGCTGCGTGTGCTTCAATGAAAGATGGACGGCAAATTAATAAGGAGTATTTCTAAATATAATGTTACAATAACAAATCATGAACAATCATGAGACCAAACTGAAAATCTTTTCTGTGTGAAAAGTCAGCCTCGGGATTCAACTTCAAGGTGTGTCACAAACATACTGTTGGAGTCCACACAGTGAACATGGTAATGTATTTTGCTTTGGTAAGAAGAAACATGAGAAACATTATAGTCAGCTGATCACGAGACAAAGAGTTCAGTTTGTGGTACGAACAGAGCCGCTATCATTCGACGCCTTCTTAAAGAACCGGTCATCTCACACTCCCCTACACAGCACACGTGTTCATGTGCACATGTGCTCTCACACATACATAAACAAACATCTGTCCCTAAGCTTCTTACAACCAGAATGTGTGTGTGTGTGTGTGTGTGCGCTGTGAAGCTGGGGACAGAAGTGCAGGGCCGCTGAGGCAGAGATGATTGGCACGAACAATTTTAGGCAAAGCTCCAGACCTCTGCCGTCCACTGTGTCCACACAGCTAGAAACCACACATCTGCCCTCAACTAAAAAAAGAATTCATCATTGCCTGGAATTGGACGCAACCAAAAAAGTACTTTGATTAAATGGTAAATTGCCTTCATGCTTTGTCAGCGCACGACAGCCCCTCCCATTTCACACTCACTGATTTGAGCCTAATCATCACCTTTTCTCTTTTGTTATTGCTCTTTTATCTCTCAGCTGGTTGGGCAGGATGGCGTAAAGCAGGCCAGTGGGGAGCACAGACGGCTTCAGGATAGTTTTGACCTGCACAGCTGTTGGACCCATCAAGGCAGATGTGCAAAAAGAGCCATCAAAGACAAAGGTTTTATTCTGCTCTGTTTTCTATCTGGCATCCTAAATAAGCCTATAAAACATTAAAACATGCTCCTTCTTTGGTCCAAAACTGTGTTCGGATAAGAATCACGCCATAGTGCTATATGTGGAAATTTTTAAATGTGTATATATATATATATATATA